TGCAGGTGCATTTGGGCTATGGGTTTAGTAGGAGGAAACTTTCATGGAAATGTTTGTGTAGGGAACAGCTGTCGAACCTGGTGAGAGTTGCTGAAAGTATAGAGGAAATAGCTGTCTAGAAAGAGACGATTTGAGTTGGCCTGAATAGAGAGGAATTTGATATAGAAGAACTTGGGACCAGAGGATGTGGAAAATAAACAGGTTGTTTGTATTGCAAGAAAAAGGGGGGATGACCTTAAAGGAGAAAGAAATGCAAACTCTAGGAGAGGCTAAGGAATTGTTGGTGTGGGAAAGCTTTTGGGAGGTGTGATGTGTTGGAATTAGAGAGCAGCATTTGTCTCTGAGCTGGATGCCATGTCCTTCCTACCCCCGCCCTTGAATGCGGGTGTCGTGTTCCGTTTTACAGCCCTGTTCCCTGCACTCCCCTCCCCCCCCAACCCCACATTGCTTACCTCTGCCAGGGGATTCTCTTCTAAAATTATCCCCCTCCCTGAGCTGGGGGCTGCCCTCTGCTGCCCTTCCCCTTCCTGTTTGCTCAGATGGAGAAAAGGAAAACAGGAAATGAAACAAACAGAAGATCAGACCAAAGCTGGGATACAAAGAAAAGAGGAAGGCATTAATAGGAGCTGCAACCAAAGCTCAGTAGAGCTTTCCATTTCATCTTCCGCACAGTCCCAGGAGGGAGTCATTTTCCTATTTTTTTCACAAATGGAAAATGAAGCTCAGACTGACTTACCAGAAGAGGAGCAAATGTAGCTCACCTAAGGGCATGGATTCTAAAATTGCGAAGACCTGGTTGTGAATACTAGGGCTGCCTTTGTAGCTAACAGTAAGCCTCAGTTTCCCCTTATTTAAACATGAAGAAATTGTTTCTGCCGTTAAAGGTCTCTGGCGGTTACATGTGATGTTACAAGGAGGCCTAATCTGCAGGACTTGGGAGAGGAGCAAGGCTTCTTTCAGAATAGGGCAAGACCCAGTAAGTTGGAAAGATGACCACCTGGAGGTATACTGAAAAGATGATCTGCTGTCTGCATATGCAAAGGGAAAGTGATTACTGAAAACATCCTTGAAGGGTTTGATGGTTGTGTTCCCCAGTAGGCCGGGGAGGCTGGCATCTGAAAACAGGTGTAATCCAGACTTAGAGGTGCTGAGGGGCTGTAGCTCATACACAGCCATCCATACTCCCACACAGGATGTGGGAGTCTTTATCCAACATTCCTACAAATAGCTTGTATTCCCTAAGCCTGCATTTTTTAAAGGAGTGAAGAGGTTTGTTGTAGTTGTTAATGTTTTTGTTCATCTTGAAAGGCAGAGCAGTAGAGAGAGGTTCTCTTCCATTTGCTGATTTACTTCCCAAATGCTGCAGGAACCAGGGCAGAGCCAGGATGAAGCCAGGAGCCAGGAGCTCCATCCAGAACCCCCACAGGGGGGCAGGGGCCCAAGCACATGAGCCATCACCTGCTCTTCCCAGGATGCATTAACAGGAAGCTGAATTGGAAGTGGAGTAGCCAGGACTCCAGCGTGCACTCCAAATATGGGATACAGGTTTCCCAAGGGAAGGCTTGGCTCAGTGTGTCACATTGGCCTCCCTGACTATGCTTTAAGCATTCAGTGCCGTGGACCCTAGAATATGGGAAATGCAAACGTGTATGCTCACGACTTTGCTTCCAAAAGTAGGAAACTCAGGATCTCACAGAAGCCCTCTTTTGGCCCTGCGATAAACTTTGTTTTCTAGTTCCCTTGCAGGACAATAGCCCATAGGGTTTAAACTTCCTAATTTCATGCAAGGTTTTCACCCTCAAATTCTTACCCTTCAGTGCTAGCAGGCTGTAGGTGTCCTGGATCCTCCTAATTTCAGAATGTGGGTTTTAGAATTGCTCTCCTACATTGCATGTCTCTACTCCAGTGCCTGCCTCTCCAGTCTCTTCAGTGTCAGTGTTCCTGGCCTGCCTGCTGTTTTAGGGACATTCCCAGGACTAGGGAGGAAGGAGTAATTCATCTGATACTTGTTTCTCAAGGTTATGAGGTCCCTGAAGAAACACCAGTTGCAGAGGAGCCATACTCTACAAAGAGGTGAAAATCTTTGATGTTCCTGAAGCCCCTCAAAGAACAGGATTTTAACATCGGTACTCTGTTTTCTCTATTAAGAAAGCAGTCCTTTCGTTTCAACCAGCCCCTTAGAATTCTCCTTATTTTCTTCCTGTATAAAGGTGGCTGTCATCACAGAACTTTTAGTCCTTCAAATCACCATACATTTGCAATCTGGGTGGGTAATAGGCCTTGAGGTGCTTTTCTTTTTTCCCATCTTCATTGGTTTATGATTAACAAGTAGGAATTATACATATTTAAGATGGATAACTTGATGTATTAATATGTATACGCTGTGAAATGTATCACAAAGGCTAGCTAACACATCTCATCGTTCCTGTGTGTGTGTATGGGGAGGGGGGGGAGCGGAATCATTAAGAGCTGCCCTCTTCGGCCAGCATCAACACTGGCACCTGATACTTCAGTCCTGCTGACTGTTTCCAACCCAGCTCCCTGCTAACACATCCAGGAAGGCAGTGGGAGATGGCCAAAGTACTTGGACCCTTGCCACCCATGTGGGAGACCCTAATGGAGCTCCTGGCTGCTGGCTCAGCCTTGGCCATTGTGCCCATCTGAGGAATGAACCAGTGGATGGAAGATCTCTTATTCTGTCTTCTGTCTCTCCCTCTCTCTGTCACACTGCCTTTCAAGTTAATCTTTAAAAAAAAAAAAATTCCTCTTAAAAAAGTTGAGGTGTACAATGCAGTGTTGTTAACTACAGGCACCATGTACGTTAAATCTCCAGGACTTACTCATTCTGCATAGCTGAAACTTTATACCCCTAACCAACATCCCCCAGTACCCTCCACCCCACCACCATCACCAGTCCGGGCCCTGGCAACCAGGGTTCTACTCTACTATGAATTCAGTGGTTCATTCAGGTAGATGCCACATATAAGTGAACTCCTACAGCATTTGTCTTTCTGCGCCTGGTTTATTTTACTTAGCATAATGTCTTCCAGGTCACCCATGTTGCAGATGGCAGGATTTTCTTGTTTTTATAAGGCTGAATAATATTCCATTGTGTATATGTACCACATTTTCTTTATCCACTCATCTGTTAACAGAGGCTTAGATTCCATATCTTGCTGTTGTGAATAACACTTCAGTGAACATGGGAGTGCAAATATCTCTTCAACATTTTGATTTCATTTTCTTCTACCTAGAAGTAGGATTGATAGATCATATGATAGTTCTGTGTGTGGACTTTTAAAGAAACTCCATACCATTTTCTGCATAATGCCTGTACCAATTTACATTCCCACCAACAGTCCACAAGGGTTCGCCATTTCTCTTGCCAACACTTATCTCCTGATAACAGCCATGCTAGCAGGTGCGAGGTGTTGTCCCAGCAGGTGATTCTGATGTGCTCTGTGCTGGTGATTAGTGACACTGAGCGCCTGGAGAAGTTGCTTTGATGCTATACGTGTTTCTTCTTGCTTTGGGTAGCTCCACTTAGCCTAGATCAAAATCACTCATAAGACCAAGTATTTGGTTTACCTGCACAGCAGTCCCTGAATTCAGACTGTCCTGGGACAGAACCCACTTGATGAAGTATCCTAAGCTTCGTTTTGTCCCAGTTTATAAGTTTTATTCTACAATAAGGAGTTCACATGGAGAGAATTCTTAGGAAAATAAATGAAGAAAAAAAAGAAATACATGACGCCAGATAGAGTAGCTTGGCCTTGGCCAAAACTATTTATTGACCTGAATAGGGAAGCGTAGCTGAGAGTACTTCCCCGTCACCTTTTACGTGTGTGGGCCTCATCATGAGAAACACTCCTTCCCACCTTTGCCTTCCCTGTGACCCTGGCCTACTTCCCTTTTCCCCTTTATCTCACGCACTCTGATAGAACTGCTGTGTGTACATCCGCACAGCCTCCATGAAGCTCAGTCCTCATAAATCTGGGCTGATAGTGTGGCTGACACATAGGAGTCTGGGAAGAGGGAGGAATTCTAGAACCCAGGGCTCTCCCCCCTGCTTTCCACAAGCCTTCCACACCCAGTGGGTGACAAGGGTGGGATCGGGGAATGGCACCAAAGTGTTATTAGCAGCCTCTGGCAGAGAGGACAGAGAGCTGGAGGGGCAAAGTGGAAACGGGCTGTGCTGGGAGAGCTGGCCAGACAGAAGTTGATGAACCAGATGAGGACTAACCCTTGAGGAGACCCAGAGCTGGGATCAACCCAACAGGGAGGGATGGCAGAGAGGCATCAGTTGCTCTCCCAGGTGAGTTCTGGCTCAAGTCTTTCCAGACCTCTGAGTCACTTCATCCAGCAGCACACCCTTCATGGTCCATGCACTCGAGAAGAGAGGTGGGATTCTGGGAGGGCTTCAGTGTGGACCCGGCTCTGCACACAGGTTTACCAGCTTACCAAGAAGTTTCCCATCCTGGGCAGGGCAGTATTTATAGAGGGACCAGAGGTGTGGGGCTGGAAGCCTTCTAGTGAGTAAGGAGGGGAACAGAGCTCCTGGCTTGCAAAGGGAATTCCCTGTGGGGCTGTCCCTCAGGTTGTCTCCCCAACCCCCACCCTGCACTGCTCTCACACCTGCTTCGACCCCAGGCAGATCAGATGTGGCAGTGGGGGGGGAGGGGGTCATGTGGTGGAGAGGTAGCTATAAATAGCTGGAGGTGGGCATGCTGCCCCAGACGCCTTGGGGACAGGCAGGAGCAGAGGCTTAAGGAGCTGCGCTGGGGCAAGGACGGGGCAAGCAGGCCAAGGCCTGGCCAGGGCTGGAGGGGGGGAGCATGGAGCAATCCCAGGCACTGCGGCATGGGGGTGAGCAGAACTGGTGGGGCAGTGCCCCCCAGTACCAGTATATGCCCTTTGAGCACTCTACCAGCTACGGACTGCCCTCTGAGAATGGGGGCCTCCAGCACCGACTTCGAAAGGACACAGGCCCTCGTCACAACGTTCACCCCACACAGGTAAAGCCTGGGCGGGGAGGGGGGTAGACTGGGGAGCCTCAGTGGTACCAGGGATTGGTAGAAATTAGGAATAAGATGAAAATAGAGAGCAATGTTATTTCTTAAAAAGTTAAAGCATGTGTGTTCAAAAGCTGAAAATCTTTCCAAGGTCTGGGGTCACCTAGCTATGCATTTACAGAGAAATACATGAGCTTTTACATAACTTTTGCTAACAGAATAGATGAAACTGTGGGAAATGGCAGAGCCACACGTGCGTGGAAAGCCTGGGCTTATGTAACTTGCATGGAGTGATTTGTGTAGGAGCACACACCACCGGGTGCTGCTAGTGTCTCCACACGCTCACCCACGTACAGACACCACCAGATTTCTGCCATCCGACCCTTGGCAGAACACACACACAAATGAGTCCTGCAGAAGGCAGGAGAAGGGAGTTGGGGAGAGGATGGACTGAGTTGTTCATCTGCAATCCAAGACCTACCTGCCACACGAAAGCTTGGTTACATTTCATGCACGAACCTATCAGCTGCAAAGGCACCTGGAAACTGCAGCAATGTGATCCCAGCAAGAGGAGCTGCAGACAGATTACGGGTGTCCATGGGTCCTTGTCCTCCAGGAGTGGACATCGGCAAGTGACTGACATCTGGGAAATGGGGACTAGGATGGGCACAGCTCAAGGAGAGGTGTGAAACTGGCTTGGAAAAATATGAAAGCTATGATGAATAAGTATGGCAGAGGATGGAGTATGTGCAGAGAGACCAGATATCAGAGTTTAAAGGCAGTTTCACTAACAAGGAGCCTGCAGTTTCTTTCGGTTTAGGGGTGGGAGGGGGTGGTTCATGCAGGTGATTTCCGCACTGGGGGCTAAGGGGATCCACTGTCAGTCCCTAACCAATCCCCTGGTGCAGAGGTGCCTCCTGGAAATGGTTGGGGGGCAGTGAGGACACAAACATCAGTGTAGGGTCCAAGAGTGAGTTGCAAAGGCTACCTGGAGATGGTGGGGTCCGACTGAGGCCTTGACTGGATAAAAGACCCTCCAGGTCCGGTGCTGTCTCGCCCAGGTCCGAGATCTGGGTGAGACAACAGCTTGAGTGAAATGCAGTTATGGCCCTCACTAGTGACAGTGGGAAAGCTGGCAGAGCAAGCCAGAAGCCATGTTGGAAAGAAATGGAAAGTTCGTTCTGGAGTAGGGTTGGACTGGTTTGCAGAGGGCCCTGAAAGCAAAGAAGAGGAGTTTGGAGTTAAGTTTAATTTTTATAATGGAAATTCCAGACTTGCACAGAAACAGAATGGCATGATGAACCCCAAAGTTCCCAATAGCTGTCAATATTTTGACACTGTTGCTTCATCTATCCTTCCCACTCCCACCCTCACCCCTCCACACACACTGGTGTACTTTTTAACAGATCCCAAACATTGCATCACTTACACTTGAGTTCTGATTTCTTCCTGGCCCTCTCGTAACCCTGCCCTAACACCGTGGTGGTGAGCACTGGATCAGCCAGGGCAGATCTGGCTCTGGTGGTGTCTTCCAACGGCTTTGGCGCTCAGAGAGCTGGGGCCTCTGGGAGAGTCTTCCCTGTCTGGGTCCCAGCTAGCGTTTGGAGGAAAGCTCTGCCTCCCTCAGTCATTAACCTCATCCCGCAGAGGAAACGGCCGTGAGCATGTGCCTATTCAGGACTGAGGCACAAAACTGCCGCTGGTATTGTGAAATCAGGTTTCCTCCCAGGCCCTCCCAGGATCAGCAATGACCTCGCCTGACCCTGGTCTCACAGGACAGTCCGTGTAGTGGGGGTGGGGCAGGATACAAGTGGGTGGAGCTCTTGCCTGCCCCCCGCCCAACACACACACACACACACACACGCAGACACACGCTGTGCATTGGGAGGAGAGGGGAGGGCCACCAGGTCTGCGGGTTGCTGCTTTGTCCTCTTCACATGTTGGTGGGGGCCCCATTATCTTGCTTTGGGGAAAAGATTGATTGGTTTTCCCAGGACTGCTGCTGCTTGTGCTTACAAGCACTAGAGATGAGCTTGACAGAGGACCCTCGTACTTCAAGAAACGCTAACCACCACGGCAAAGTGCAGCCAAGAGAGAGTCATCCGCTGGCTAAGCCATTCTTCACCCTGTCCACACTGGCTTCCCAGGGGGCAGGCGGGAAACTAGAGACATCCATGCAGAAAGCATGGTGAGGGCCGGCGCTGCGGCTCACTAGGCTAATCCTCCACCTTGCGGCGCCGGCACACCGGGTTCTAGTCCCGGTCAGGGCGCCGGATTCTGTCCCGGTTGCCCCTCAAACAGACCAGCTCTCTGCTGTGGCCAGGGAGTGCAGTGGAGGATGGCCCAAGTCCTTGGCCCTTCCACCGTGGGAGACCAGGAGAAGCACCTGGCTCCTGCCATCGGATCAGCCGCGTGCGCCGCCACAGCGCACCAGCCGCGGCGGCCATTGGAGGGTGAACCAACGGCAAAGGAAGACCTTTCTCTCTGTCTCTCTTTCTCTCACTGTGCACTCTGCCTGTCAAAAAAAAAAAAAAAAAAAGAAAGAAAGAAAAGAAAAGAAAAAAGAAAGCATGGTGACACATGAAGTACCTCCCTGATCTGGATTCCCAAGCTCGGCACAGTTCTCTGTAGCTGTTCTGTAAAGCAGAATTTGGCCTCCTTGATGAAGGCTACTACCATGGTCCAACATGAGGAATGTATGGGTAGAAGTTGGGGATGGACAGACAAGGTGCAGCATGGGAAACGTGTGAATGGAGAGTGGGGAATTGAGGGAAGCAAAGCTGCATGGAGTGCTCCAAACCCAGAATTCAGAAGAGCAAGTTCTGTTTTGTTGGAGATCATGTGCTGCCCTTTATCTGCTCAGTTGTTCTTCAAGAAGACAGACACTGACCACTCTCTCTCCACACAGATTTATGGCCATCACAAAGAAGAACTGTCAGATAAGGAGCGAGGCATGGGAATGCCCAAGAAGATGGGCTCCCGTTCCACCCTGGACAGCAGTGATGAGGATCACTATTCTAAATGTCAAGGTGATGGGGACTGAGGCATAGAGGACAGGAGTGGAAGGAGGTGCAGGGATTAGGAGGATAACTTGGATGCCCCGATGTGCATACTGTTCCCAGAGCCCTTCTGAGAAGGTGCCTCCGTGACTGCCTCCACGCTTCACCTTGTTCCCTCCTATCCCTCTCCCAACCCCAGAAATCAATGTAGAGAGGAGTGCAGACATCCGTGGGGGACTGGGCTCTGGAAGGGAAGGAGTAGCAGTTGGCAGAGAGGTAAAGAGAAATCCAGGCACTAAGCTGAACAGACAGGACCCTAAGGGCCCAGTCCCTCCCCTCTACTCTGCAGTCATGCGCCCAAAGCAGGGACTGGTCAGCTGCTGTTCTCTTTGGTTTGTTACCTTTTTCTCTTCCCAGATTGTGTCCGCCGCCTGGGACATGTGGTGAGAAGGAAGTTAGGGGAAGACTGGATCTTTCTGGTGCTTCTGGGCCTACTGATGGCTCTGGTCAGCTGGTGCATGGACTATGTCAGCGCCAAAAGCCTTCAGGGTTCGTTCGGCTTCCACCCTGCCCTCAGCCTCTCTCCAGCTGAAGTTTCCACTGAGCACAGTGTGTTTGGGGATCTGCTGGGTCTGCAGCCCCAGACAAGCCCGAGCTGGGGCCCACACTCATTTTTCATGCCCCTTCCACCCAAGCTGCAGGTGCCATTCTAATGGGTGTCCAGCTTGTCACGGTTTCCCCCAGGGCTGTCCCAGGTTCAGCACTGAAATGCTGAGTCCTGGGAACTCCTTCAGCTCTGGGCACAGCCATGGGCTGCCTCCCCCCAGGACACTTCCCCTGCGGACACTCAGGTTTCCCACATGTAAAGTGAGAGGGGTGGCACCTGGGGAGGGGCAGGTGGGAGGACTGTGTCACGGGGACACACCCAGTGTGCAATCCTGTGCCACCACCACCATCACTCTGACCCCAGGTGTGTGTCCCTGCAGCCTACAAGTGGACATACGCTCAGATGCAGCCCAGCCTCCCTCTGCAGTTCCTGGCCTGGGTCGCCTTCCCGCTTACGCTCATTCTCTTCAGCGCCCTCTTCTGCCACCTCATCTCTCCCCAGGCGGTTGGTGAGAACTTCCTGCGGCACCCCTCAACCCGGTGGGCCTGTCCCCCATGCCCTTGGTCTTCCTCCTGCCCCCACTCCCCTATAGCCCTTTCCTAGCTCTGCTGTTGTCCTCCTCACCACCGATTCTCCCTCTGCAGCCCCCGTTTCCACCTACTGAATGTTCATTTCCCGTGGGATTTCCAGCTTGCACCTGCACATAACCTCTCTGCTACCCTTTCAGGCTCTGGGATCCCTGAAATGAAGACAATCCTTCGTGGGGTTGTCCTGAAGGAGTATCTCACAATCAAGGCCTTTGTGGCCAAGGTGGTTGCCCTGACCGCTGGGCTTGGCAGTGGCATCCCTGTGGGGAAAGAGGTGGGTCTGCTTGCTGAGGTGTGAGCTGGGAGAGGTGCTCATGGGACAGAATGGTGCTGAGTCTAGAGGGCACCCTGGAGAGGAAGCGGGCGGTGCCGATCCGGAATAGAGCCTGGGCCAAGGTGCAGGAGTGGGGAAATGCTTTGGATGGTCCTAATCCTGGGGTGGAATGACACAAAGACCAGAGCTGGGGAGTCAGAGTGACATTCAGGCTGGGAATCTGTGCTGTGTACTGCAGCTTCCCTGGCCTCCACCCCTGTGCCTGTGGCAGCCCCAAGTTGTGACAATCAGAATGTCTCTAGACATTGCCAAATGCCCCCTATAAGGCAATATCTCCCCTCATTGAGAACCAGTGCCTTAGTGGTGACCCAGACCAGTTCCAGGTGGCACACTCAGGTCCCCTTCAGTCCTATTCTCACAAGCATTCTTTGTCCTCTGCCATTGGCACTTCCCACGGCAGCATCTTGTGAAAATGGAATCAGGCACTTCTGACCTGTGGTCAGGAGCTTCTTGATGGTTTTCCATCCCACTAGAGTGAACTCTGAACTTGTCACTGTTGCTTCTGAGACCTGTGCTCACCTCATTCCCTCCTATCTGTCCAGTCTTTGGTCCTCACTGTTTGATCCACAAGACTTTCTTCCTGCCCCCTGTCCACTCGAAGCCTGTCCCCTTCTCCGGGCAGCTGTGCGGCAGGTCCCTCAGCCTGGAACGTTCTTCCTCCTGATTCCATCGTGGCTCACTTCATCCAAGGCCTTTCTCAGTTATAACCAGTTCCGGGAGGCCTCTCCAGACCACCTACTCTGAGCACATGTCCCCATCCCATCCTCATCCATCCCAGCTCCCCCCTCCCTCTCCTTTATTTTCTTTGCTGCCTGAAAGAATCAGAATCTGGTTGAGGGCGAAAGCAGTTTATTCAGAGTGGGAGAGAGGACTGAGCCCGAGAAAGCTGTCGGACATCAGCTAAGTAGACTGCTCCACTTGTCTTTTGTTGGACATGGTGTTATGCCCTTCTTCCCGGCTTGAATATGTGCAGGAAATCAGGTCTGTGAGGCACATTTAGCCAATATTCATTCATTTATTTATTTGAAAGAGTTAAAGAGAGAGGGGGAGAGAGAGAGAGAGATGAGAGAGAGAGAGAGAGGGAGGGAGAGAGAGACGGTCTTCTATCTACTGGTTCACTCCCCAAATGGCCACAAATGGCCAGGGCTAGGCCAGGCCAAAGCCAGGAGCCAGGAGCTTCATCCAGGTTTCCCACATGGGTATCAGGGGCCCAAGCACTTGGGCCATCTTCCAGTGCTTTCCCCCTGCCATTAGCAGATATCTAGATCAGATATATTAGCAGATATCCAGGTCAGCTGGGACTTGAAACAGTGCTCACATGGGACACCAGCATTGGCAGGCGGCGGCTTTACCCACTGTGCCACAGTGCCAGCCCTGCATCATCTGGTTCTTCAGCAAAGGGTTAGCACATCGTGTGGCACATGACAAGTGAGGTCACTGCTTAAAGAGCTACACTGTGTGTCCACATCCAGTGTAGTCCACCCACAGGAGGAGCAGACCTTGGGCGACTGACAGTCTTCCATCACATCCCTTGGTTGTCAGGCTGACCCCTTTTGTCCCATTTTGCTTTGTGTGGCTGGAGCAAACGCGCCTTAGTTGGGAGGTGAGGGGTGGAGCTGAAGCCTCCGCGCAGCACAGATCCGTCCGGCCTCCTTGGGCCTCTGCAATCTCCATTTCATTCTGGAGATTTCATTTTGTTCACAGCTTTATGGGCACATTGTGTCAGATAATGCCAGTGGCTGATCTGGGACGAGATGACCCCTGGCTGGTCCTTACCCTTCCTTTCTGGGGTGGGGCATCGCGAGAGCAGACCTCCCCAGAGCAGGACACGCTAGCTCTGCAAGCACAACCCCTCACCCCAGTGCCTGGCTCTCTTCGTCTCTTCCAGGGCCCTTTTGTCCACATTGCCAGCATCTGTGCTGCTGTCCTCAGCAAGTTTATGTCCGTGTTTTGTGGGGTCTACGAGGTAAGGCTGGAGCAGGACAGTTCTGTAGGGGTCAGCTGGTGGGCAAAAGCCAGATGTGTGTGTACAGGGAGTCGGGCCGGCTGCCTCTGCTCTGGGCTGGCTGGCGTGCTGAAGGGGGCATCGCACTAATCCATGCACCCTCTTCTCTGTGCCTACTTCCAAAACCCATCCTTCTCCCTCTATGCTGATCTGTGTCAGGCCTGCCCCCTGCTGCCCGTGCAGGTCCACACCCCCCCATGCCACTTCCCCTCCGCCTTTCCCTCCTGTGCTGCCCGTCCCTTTGCAGCTCCTGATCCTCCATTGTCATCCTGCTGACTAATGCCCACCTGTCCTACCCCACCACCTTCCTGGTCCTGCGTGCTTCTCTGTTGCAGACCGTGCCTGGGCAGCTTGACCTCCTGGTGCCAGCCTGCGCAGTGGGCGTGGGATGCTGCTTTGCAGCCCCTGTTGGAGGCAAGTTTCACTTCCTCCCTACCCCGGTTGCCTGAGCCAGACCTGAAAGGGGAAGTGGGTGGCTGTCGTAGCATTGGGGTGGAAGGGGTGGTGCTCACCAAAAGGACTGGTGAGTGGGCATCCAGGGAGTGACCGTTGATCACAGCCCCGGTCTTCAAGCACCTGGATTTCTCCACCCAAGGGCTGTGATTCTTTGAGACCAGCTGCTGTTTCCTACAGGCCTCGTTAGTACTGCTCTGTCTGGAATCCTTGCCAGTCTGTTACTGCCACTTCTCACGATGGATGTCTCCATCTCTAGACCTTCTCTAGGGATCATTTATTTGCCTAAATTTTATTTTTCTGTTTTTTGACCTTATGCTATGAGGTCACTTCCTGTTTGCCAAACTCGCTGGGTTTCTCATAGCCTAGGAGTAACAAGGGGCGATGGGACCGTGGTGATTCCCTGTGACTTTGGCCTCTCATTCCTCCTTATTCCCTGTCCCTACTTGTTCTCCTCTCCTCTCTTTGGCCCTCTTCCCCTCTCCTCCCACCTGTCTGTCTGTCTGTCTCTCCCCCTAGTAGCAGCCATACTATTACACTGACATCCTGACGGTGGGCTGTGCGGTGGGAGTCGGCTGCTGTTTCGGGACGCCACTTGGAGGCAAGTGACGCGTCCCCTCCCACCCCAGCCCTGCTCGAGTTTGCTCCTAAGTGCTGGTGTTGCCAGTGTACTTGTTCTAACGGAACAGCTAACTCTCAGGGGGCATTTAGTGCCTGCCAGGCTGCATTTTAAGCATTTATTCTGGCCGAGGACTCTGTGAGACAGGTATTCTGGATGAGAGGCAAGAGCTGAATTACAAAGAAGGCGAGTGATCTGAGCAAGGTCATTCCGGTAATCAGTTGCACAGCCAGGAATTTAAACGAAAACAGTCTCCACAAAACATATTTGTATTATTGGATATTTTTGCCCTACACTTACTGCGTCCTGTAACGGGATTCTGGATACTTCCTGCTCCAAGGGAAACTTTCATTGTGTTGTATTTCATTAAGGATGTAGGAGTCTGGGCAGAGCTTATTAGTTAACAGCAGCCACCCTCTCATCTTGTGGGGATGATTTTTACTCATTCAGAAACTTAATTCTCAATACACTGGAAGTGATGTAACTCAGATTCAACCTGACCAACTCAGAAAAGTTATTTATGAACCAAGGCTCCGTGGGACCTTTGCATCTTGGTTGATATTGGTATTTATAGGTGTCTAATGATTATTTAGCAGATTATGGTAATTTCCCTTTATCCACAGGGGATATGTCCCAAGACTCCCAGCGGATGCCAGAAACTGCAGAAAGTACCAAACCCTAAATATATGGTGTTTTCTCCTATACATGCATACCTATGATAAAGTGTAACTTATAAGTGGGCACAGTAAGAGATAACAACAAAAACTAATGATAAAGTAGAACAATTATAGCAATATGTGAATATGGTCTCTCTCAAAATATCTTTTTTACTATATTAACTCTTCGTATGATGATGATGTGAGATGGTACAAAGCCTGAGTGAGGAGAATGTTAGGTGAATGATGTAGGCATTATGACATAGCATTAGGCTACTACCTAAGGGTGACAAGCATGGCGATACCATGACTTTCTAGCTGACAACCGTAATGGTGAAGTGACTAACAAGTGGTAGCATGGATATGTTGAACAAAGGTATGATTCACATCCCGAGCCAGACAGAGTGAGACGGAGAGAATTCCATCACACTACTCAGAACAAAGTGCAATTTAAAACTTACTGTTTGCTGGAATTTTCCATTTTATATTTTTGTATCATGCTTGTCCTTGGATAAACTAAAACCATGGACACTTACCAAAACCATTGGTAAGTGGGGCATGGGGGAATTACTGTAATGGTAAGCTTTAAACAAGAAGTACTTACAGGGAATTTTAAAGGATAATTGTTCCCTAATAACAATTTAAAGCTGTTTATCCCTTTTGTACATGTATAAGGTGAGATTTCAGATTCTTTCCTTATCATGAATGACTGAAAAATGGATATGGTGAGACAAAGCACTTACATCTGTTTATTTATTCACCCAACCAGTTGCAGCCAGAGTAACAGAGCAGGGATTATATAGATCGTTCACTTGGATTCACTGGTGGTAAAAAGGACACCAAGTTGACAATTGAAGAAACAGAATTACAAGAAAGGCATACGCTCCTTAAATGACCAGCTATTAGAGATTTCTTTTCAATTATGAAAATGTAATCAGTCTCTGCACAGAGTAGTCCTTCATGTAGCTAAAATTACCTGTCTCAGGAATGACATATGGACAAGAGTTTAAAGTCAATGAAAATGAATCATGCTACCTTGTGCTAACAAAATGCACAGCACAAGGAGATCCAGTGAGCAAAGGCACCAGCCGGCGCTCTGTTTGTATATGCAGTGTCATCTCTGGTCATTACAGCCATTAGTCCCTGTCAGTGAAGGACAGCGTGTTTGAATCTCTTCATGTGTTTCTACATATTCACACTTACATTTATACCACTGTTCACCTAAGGCTTAAGGAATGTTTTATATAGAAATAAATAATTGTTTGCTTCATATTGTCTTTAATCAGATTTTTTTTTGAAGATTCATTTATTTATTTGAAAGGCAGAGTTACAGAAAGGCAGAGGCAGAGAGAAGGAGGTCTTCCATCCACTGGTTCACTCCCAAATGGCCACAATGGCCAGAGCTGGGCCGATCCGAAGTCAGGAGCCAGGAGCTTCCTCTGGGTCTCCCACATGGATGCAGGGGCCTAAGGACTTGGACCACCTTCTGCTGCTTTGCCAGGCACATCAGCAGGGAGCTGGATTGGAAGTAGAGCACCTGAGACTTGAACTAGCACCCACATGGGATTCCGGCAGTCCAGGCAGCATCTTTGCCCACTATGCCACACTGTGCCAGCCCCAGCTAGATCTTTTAAAATGAAGAAAATTAGCGTTTTCTTCATAAAACTGGAATTTCTGAGGTGAATAAGGAAGGAAGGGTCTTCTTGGTCCTGTGTAGAGTATGGCAAAAGTAAACACCATAGGGAAGTTATAGATAGCACATTGTTCCTGACACAAGAAATTGTTCATCATTTAGAAATTAAAGTGCTCTGTTCATGTTGTTTGTATTAAGTAGCAAATGATAAGTGTATTTGCAGGTAGCATTACTTGAGTTCCTTTATAAATATAGATGAATTCTGAAAGAAAAAAAATTAGTGTTAAGATAGCACTATATAGGCAGTTGTTAATTTTTTTTAAAAGATTTATTTATTTGAAGGCAGAGTTGCAGAGAGAGAGTCTTCCATCTACTACTGGTTCACTCCCTAAAAGGCCACAACAGATGGGGCTTGGTCAGGCTGAAGCCAGGAGCCAGGGGCCTCCTCGAAGTCTCCCATATGGGTGCAGGGGCCCAAGTACCTGGGCCATCTTCCACTGCATTCCCAGGTGCATCAGCAGGGAATTGGATTAGAAGCCAAGGACTCCAACCCATGCCCATATGGGATTCTAGCACCGCAGATGGTGGCTTAACCCACTATGGTACAGTGCCGGCTCCAGCTGTTAATTCTTAGCACTGATGAAACAAATGTAATTCAACATTCTACTAAAATGTTAAGTGCCTTATTTCTGTATGTCCCAGGCACTATGCTTGATCCTGCACTCTACAAGGTATTCATGGTTGAAAGGGTAGTCAGGCAGGCAAGTGCATCAGACACCACTCAGATAAGTGTCACACGGTAGCCTAGACAAAGTGCAAGTGGGAACTTTCCTCTAAGCTGCCTGGAAAGGCCCATGAAGCTTCATAGTAGTGTTTGATTTGAGGTTTAAATAATAAGTAGGACATTCCAAGAAAGACAGTGAGAACAAGGTATCCAAGCTAGAGGAAAGAGCATTACAAACTCAAGTCCTGGGGAATTATAACTACAATAGATGAGTATTTCTTGGGGGTACAGGACATCATGCACTAGAATGTATATTTTATTCTTTAGGCTAGGATTTGCCCAAATGTGTTTTTTTCAGAACACAGTTTTTTATGGTGTTTTTAGATGTAACATATGAAAATGGTTCCAAGGTCAAATCAGAAAACACTTGCTTTAACAGATTTTTTTAATTGGAAAAATCATCAGGCCATTTGGTTTGCTGATTTACATTATGAATATCCAAAATAGAATCTAAGGCAGTATTTCCCAAAGAACCCCTTTTGCAGGGACTATCTCTTGGGACTTGTAGTAGCTCTTGAACCTGACTTTGGGAAATGCTGTCATGGGTAAATTGAAGCCATGAAAGAATTTTGAAAAAATATGTGACATGGCCAGCTTTGCATATTCATCCAGTCTCTTTGGCACAGGCAAACTGGCCTGTGGATTAGCAGGAATAACCCAAGGTTAACAAGAAGACTATTGTCATAGTCCTCATGCTAGATAATGAGAGACTAAATGCAGAGGCAGAAGGGAGAGAGAATAGGATAATAAAGGTGAGCAGTAGAAAGTAAAACCAATGCCACCTGGTGATTGATTTCACCTGAAGCTGTGAGGCACAAGCAAGGAGAGGGTGCAGGCCAACAGCCAGGTTCCGATAAGGGTAAGTTTGTAGATAGTAGTATTAGGAACCAAGATTGAGAGGAGGGAAAGTGAAGCAGAGCAACTGATTGATTTCATTTTGAGCACATTGAGTTCCAAGTTCCTGTGGCATATGCATGTGAAATCAAGTGTGCAGCCGGGATGATGGGTCTGAAGCTCAGGACGGGGCTGAAAGCACAGCAGCATATAGGTGCAGCTGACACCGCGGGCATAAAGGAGGTTGAGAGAAAGGGTGGCTATGGGTAGCAGGACTGAGAGAGCAAGGGCAGAGTCCTGGCCTCAGGAGAGGCACAGGAGCTGCCAGAGGAGACAGAGAAGGAGTCTAGAGTGAGAGAAGAGAGGGTGTTCCAGAACCTGTGAGGTAAAGTTTGCAAGAGCTGTTTGTGTTTTTAATGCGTTGTTTCCTTTTAGCTGCACATTTAATGTCTGGCTCAGTCTAGTATTAAAATTAGCTCTCATTCCTGAGCATGTAGTGACAGACTGCTAGGGAATGTGTCCCAGATCCACATTGTGGGAAAGAAAACCTAGCCCGGGATTTCAAAAAATCGCTGTAAATAAAATTTAAGTTGGATATTTTACACCCAGGCAATTCAAAACTGACTTTGCTTTTGTTACTGGTTAGAGAGAGACTCCTTCCACCTAATCCCCGCTGTGTCAAATCTTCCGTTAAGGCCAAGAGCCAGCTGTCTTCCCTGATATGATTTAGAGAGCAGGGCAGGAAGGGTGGTTGGAAAACTCTGTTACCCATCGCTTCACTCTGTTTTCTGAAATTCCACCCATTCTCTTCTGTTCTCTTTTTCCTTTCCTGGTCTTTCCTCTCTTGCTCATCGTGAGACTAGGCACTGCGCCCTGATGATGCCCCTGGCACTGTAGTAGACATCGATTTCCAAGGAATTTCCAGCCCTAGAGAAATTGTGTCAGAAATGTGAACACATAACTAGATCTCAGTGGTGCTGATGGTCCACAAATCTGAGCGAACGTGGTGATGGATGCACGGTTTCTACCGGAGGAGCACTGGGGATGGCTTCCTGCACAAGGTGACATGGAGCTGGCCACAAGAAATTCTAAAGTGCAGCAGCCACTCCACGACGGGGCGGCCGGCAGGTGTGCATGATTCAGTGTGGACGGCACCTTTGGAAGAGCAGGTGAAGCTGGGGAAGGATTAGAGAGAGGTGACTTATAGAACAGGGAGAAGAAACCCTCCTGGGATCTGAGACGCTGCCTGAGGAGTGAGCAGGTGGGGGGCTGTGGGCTAACTAGCATGTTCACCACTGAGATAAAAAGAACAAATCTTGCTTATGCCATGGTTTGACTTGAGGCCACCACATCTCCCTGTATCGAATTATGTACTGCTTTTCCTTGGTTCTCCCTCCTCGTTTTTGGTAAAGATGAGATTTAGCTAGGTTTTAGGTAGTTTTGTTTTTACTCTACATCCAACCAGAGTCCAAGCATCTTGTTACTTCAACGTTGCTCCTTATGCTATCAGTGTTCCTTACTTTGTCCCTACCCATTGTTGTATTTATTCTATATATCTACTTCATTTTCTACCCCAGCATCTATTCTCAGAAACAGTACTAGCTAGAAGGACTAATTAGCTTCCCTTTTTCCTCACCCACCTTCTTCAGTATGCTTTATAAAATCTTCTAGCTTTAGTTTTCCCCCTAGCTTTGGCCCTTTTGAGGTGAGTGTTTTATATTAGTTTCCTTTTTAAAGTTTTTGGATGACTCCCCTGCCTTCTTTTCTCGAAATATTGAGTGTTGTCAGCTGCTACAAAGCCCCGCCTAGTTTCCTAATTTCTTTCTTCTAAAGGTCTCACAAGGTATCGAAAGGGGTCGATAGGAGACAGATGGGGCTGTGCAGATCCTGAGCTCTGCCCGGCAACTCCTTCTCTGGAAGCTTTCTCGATTTCCAGCTCTCTGGAGAGTTTTCAACTACTTGTAACCCTCCAGGGGCATCTAACAGTCATGAACCCCTTGCACCTACATTCAAGGAGTGAGCAGGCATGGAACTGATCCTCATGTTTTGGTGGCTGAGCGTCCATCTCATCCCTGTCTTTTCTGTATCTTATTAAATACATCCTCATCTTCAAAAATATAAATTAAAAAGCTAGGGGCAGGCATTTGGTGTAGTGGTTAAGATGCTGTACGGGACACCTGCATCCCAAATCTGATTACCTTGGTTCAAGTTCCAGCTCTTCCTCTGATCCAGGCTCCCTGCTGGTGTGCACCGTGGGAGTCAGTGGGTGCTGGCTCAAATCCTTGGCCCTGCCCAGGGAGACTTGGATCCAAAGTTCTGGGCTCTTGGTTTCGGACTGGCCCAGCCCTGGCTGTTGTGAGCATTTAGGGTATGAACCAGTGGATTGGAGAATCCCTGTCTCTCTGCCTTTCAAATAAAATGAAAGTAAATAAATAATCCTGGTGTGAAGAGGTATGTGGTTAGAGCGTGGAACTCCAAGAGGTCATGGCATTCCAGTACTGCTCTTCCCAGCCGCTAATCAAGTTTTAGCAAAAGCTCCTCAGGTCCGAGGGTGTGGAGTGTGGGAAGTAGCCTTTCCCTTCCTCTGCACCTGACCCTCCCGTGCTGCCCCTGCAGGAGTGCTGTTCAGCATCGAGGTCACCTCTACCTACTTTGCAGTTCGCAACTACTGGCGAGGATTCTTTGCGGCCACATTCAGTGCCTTTGTGTTCCGCGTGCTGGCAGTGTGGAACAAGGATGCTGGTAACAGGCACTCTGGGGGAAGAGGTCGTCTGAAACAGGGGTGCTGGAAATGGGGTGTGGAGGGAAGCTCCATAGGGGGTCTGGAAAAGGAACAGATTTCATTGTTTGGGAAGTGGGACCAAGGCCCAAGGGTATAGGACATGGATACAGGTCATGGAGTGGGGGAGTAAAACCGTAGATGTGGTAGGAAAATGGAAATGAAGGAGAGAACTTGGGGTTCAAGGAAGGAAGGAAGGAGTGCTTGAAACTGGTAGCCTCTGTTGCCCTGTTGGTGGGTCTCTGTGAAGCCCCTGCTGCAACGCTTGCCTTTTCATCCTTAGTCACCATCACTGCTCTGTTCAGAACCAATTTCCGAATGGATTTCCCCTTTGACCTGCAGGAACTCCCAGCCTTTGCTGTCATTGGGTCAGTGGGGTCACCTGCTCTGGGTGTGGTGAGCAGGGAGTGGGGTGAGGCTGTGGATTGGAAGAGACCCAAGCAGGGAAGAAGGTGGGATGGGAATAAATAAAGGGTAAATTGTAGGGGAGGTGGGTAAAAAGGGACGGGGGACAGCCTGGCGTCTGTTTCTGCACAGTGGCCAGGTCCAAGGGAAGAGGGGCTCACGCCTGCAAGGTTCCAACCCTGTAACTTGCACCCTCAGGCTTTGCTGTGGGTTCCTGGGAGCTGCATTTGTGTATCTGCATCGCCAAGTCATGCTCGGCGTCCGGAAGCACAAGGCCCTCAGCCAGTTTCTTGCTAAGCAGTGAGTCACTGCCCTTCCTTTGCCCTACCCATTTGCTTTCTGGTTTCTGTAAGAGTTCTGCCCTTTTTATCTTTGTGGAAGGCATTAAATGACTGCAGGTATCTCCCATTAAAATATAAGGAAGCCCTGATACTGTGAGTAGGCAGCAAGTCATGTGGTCTCCTCTTAAAGATTATATTTTGGCAACGAGAGCGCTCTTTGTTTCAGGAGCTGAGGCTACCATGGGCGACAGGAAACCTGGGCTCGCCAGAGTCAGTGTGGTAGTCACTGGGGGTCGGCTGAGTTGATGGGGAGGGCTAACTCCGGTTTCTTTTCCAGCCGCCTGCTGTATCCTGGAATTGTTACCTTTGTCATCGCCTCATTCACCTTTCCACCAGGAGTGGGTCAATTCATGGCTGGAGAGGTCAGCTCCAGGGGAGTCCGAGGGTGGGGGTCAGGTCACTGAGCCGATGACTAGGTTACTAAGCTAGGACAGGGTCCCCAGTGGAGGGGAAGAGGCAACACAGATGACCCTCAGGCTTCAGAGTGTAGATCATTTTGCCCCACGATAGAAAAAGGCAACCCTTGAATAATGAGACAGGGGAGTAGGGCTTCTTTTTTGTTTGTTTGTTTTAAAGATTTGTTTTATTTATTTGAAAGAGTTACACAGAGAGAGGAGAGGCAGAGAGAGAGAGAGAGAGAGAGAGAGAGAGAGAGAGAGGTCTTCCATCTGATGGCTCACTCCCCAATTGGCCGATCTGGAGCCAGGAGCTCCTTTAGGGTCTCCCATGCAGGTGCAGGGCCCAAGGACTTGGGCCATCTTCCACTGCTATCCCAGGCCACAGCAGAGAGCTGGATCAGAGGAGGAGCAGCTGGGATTAGAACCAGTGCCCATATGGGATGCCTGCGCTTCAGGCCAGGGCTTTAACCGACTGTGCCTCTGTGGAGTAGGGTTTCTAAAGAAGAACCTGTTGCTTCTGCCGCTTCCTCTCACAGCTGATGCCCCGTGAAGCTATCAGTACCCTGTTTGACAACAACACGTGGGTAAAGCACGTGGGTGACCCCAAAAGCCTGGGACAATCAGCTGTGTGGATTCATCCCAAGGTCAACGTTGTCATCATCATCTTTCTCTTCTTTGTCATGAAGGTACTGCTCCCCCACACTAATGACCCCTGAAACCTCTGTTTTCAATGTAGGAACTAACTCGGGGTTTGCATAGTGTAGATGGTCTAGAACTTCATCTGGTTGTCGTCCAACCTAAAAAGACATCATTTGGAAACCACAGCCCAAGTGAATTGCTCATCTATAGACATGAACCAGTATCTGGGTTAATTGCTCCATTCATGTCAACTTTGTGGTGTTTGGCATAATTATAATAACCTTCCTAATGGTTCCTACTTGTTAAATTATTAAGACATTACAGCTGCCAAGAAGACAAGGACAGATAGAGTTTAGCAAGATTTAACTGTGTAAGAGCCTCAGATTAATTAAACCACATATTAGATAATTCCTCCCACATACTAGATAATTAGGTTCTGCATTCTCCTCTTATCTGATTATTCATTTTTAGGTGATTTGCACATTTGTTTTTTCCCCGTTTGTGGGTAATCTCTTTTGAAGAATTTCAAAAGAGATAAGTCATTTTTATTAGTGACTATAAACTATCTTTATAAATGTTATTCTCTCTTTAGGTAGTGAGGTTATGAGGATTTTGCCATTTTCAGCCTTTTTTTTAAAGCGACTCTCTCTTTTCTCAGACAGGCAGAGTTAGAGAGAGAGAGACAGAAAGGTCTTCCTTTTTCCGTTGGTTCACCCCCCAAATGGCTGCTACGGCCGGCGCACTGCGCTGATCCGAAGCCAGGAGCCAGGTGCTTCCTCCTGGTCTCCCATGCGGATGCAGGACCCAAGCACTTGGGCCATCCTCCACTGCCTTCCCAGGCCACAGCAGAGAGCTAGGCGGAAGAGGAGCAACCGGGACAGAATCCAGCACCCCAACCAGGACTAGAATCCGGGGTTCCGGTGCCGCAGGCGGAGGATTAGCCAAGTGAGCCACGGCACCGGCTGGATTTTGCCATTTTCAAGTCATTTTCTTCTAACTTCAATTAGGAAACAAAAGTTGATCTCTTTATATAAGTTCTTTTTCATACGTGCCCCCCGAGGATTGTGTATTTATAGAAGTCTCAATTGCTGCCTTATACAGAGACATTTTATTTCCACCCTTGCTGTGACAGCTAGTACAAGTGCTGATTAGTTCTCTCCTTTTTAATGATTACCACTTACTAATATTATGTCTTGCTTAAATATTTCAATATCTTCCTGTATTAGGGTTCTCATTTATACATTTGTCCACATGAACATTCATACTTTGGACTACTTTGCTATTAACCTATTTATGATACCTTTTATGAATATACATGTTCCCAGGATATGAGTCACTAGTTATATTTATATTGTAATTATTACAGCAGGTTCATTTTCTCAATTATGTTATATAGCACTCACTATGTGCCAAGTACATAATACTTGTTTGTAGATCTTTGGCTAATCGTTCACTTGCAGTTGAAAATTATTTTAAAATTCCCTTCTTTGTTTTTCCCCTGCTCATTTAAGATACTTGCCAGTGATCTCATGATTAGAGATGCTTGATGCTTGACACACGAGGTTTCAACTTCGTCACTCCCAGTCTCAGGGTTTGCTGTCAGTTTCTGGAAGTTTTATCTCTGTTATGTTCTTCCTCAGTCTCCACTACATGGATTAATTGGGTCAACAGCTTCCATATTTTACATACCCACTTTAGAAATGTAATCATCTTTTCATTTCTTCCTTCAAAATATTTTATATTTTTATCATAAAGAAGTTCTCAGTGTCGTGTTAGGGATTTGATTTTTGGACTTTTCTTATAGAGTTCATCTTCTGTAATTTATGAACCCTAATTTCCCATTATTCTTTGTTGAGTGTACAAGCCCATCTACAGTAACCAAGTCCAACTCTGATGGGATGCTAGAATTCATTGTCTAATGATATTAACTGTGTTTTTCTTATATACCTCTAGACTGAGATATATGGTAACACAGACCGTATATATTTTAAAATGTTAAGATTTTGAAAAACACAATTCTGTTTAATTTTCAACATTCCTACTTTCCCTGCCCCCCCCCATTCCATCTCCCCAGATTCCCAAGTATGTATCTGGATTCCACTTCACAGATGAGCGCTTATTTTGAGAAAAGTACTTGGGTCATATAGGAAGACTCAACTGTATGTCACCATCATTAATTTCTGACTGAATTATATCCTTGATAATGTGCATATCAAGAAACTCACCTCCTGGGCTGTCTTTCATGCTCAGTAGCTTGCAGCAGGCCTGTGATGCATATAAACATAAACCACTCAGTGCTCCCACCCATGGTACTACCCAGTTATCACTGCTTTCCAGTACTTCACTTTGTAATCACTGGACACACAACTGTGCCCTTATTTTTTTCCCAAAGTGTGGGAAATAGGACACATGGCCAAATTAAAATACAAAAGTGACAAAAACTGTTTTTCCACAGTCTGATTTGAACTTCAGCCCATGTGGTCTTCTACAGTGTCAGTACAGGCAGAAAAGATCCTCATCTCAGCTCTTTCATAGCACTGATGAAGGGAACCTTCATCAACCTCTAGACAGAGAAAGTGCGATCATGGTATCAGTCAAGGGCTTTTACAATGAAATGAATATAATTACAACTTGTCAGCTCCCCTTTCAGAAGATGAACGTTATCACCAAGTATCATTAAGGTGTCAGCACAACCTGGGGCTCTGTAGAATTCTTTTTGCCTTGTCTTCATACCACTCCTTCTTCAAAGGGCTGAAATAGAGTGAAACCTTTGATAATGGATTTCTGGTCTCCCTGTTCTCTAGAATTGGATGTTTAAAATCTTGGGAATTATCTGTGCTCCACATCACTTCTGTATCTTTTCTCTCATGTGCTAGAGCTTAAAAAAATATAGTGGGCTAATCTCATGTGTCATCCTTTGTGTTAAATGAATGGATAACTTCAGTGCCCTCTGATCCTGATGCTGCTCCTACACATCTCTTGGAGGATAATCTAAGATTCATCTTCTGACATCAGAGTGATTGGCCACCTTTTATTTGTGTTACTGGAGTTTTCAAATTAACTTGAGCCCACAAAATCCCCTATGGCTTTCATGTACTTGTTTCAAAGAGTTGGAACAGGGTAGTTCAAGGAATCACTTACCAGGCTTAAAGTGCAAGTGCCTAGAACTGTCTCCAGGCAGTCTGATGCGTAGCGTCCCATGGGGCTGGTCATCTGCATTTTAAACAAGTTTGCCCTGGGTAAGTGTTCCTCTTAGGTGCTTTAGCAGATATTAGCTTTGAGAAGGCCTTTTCTGCTTTACATGAATACAGGGATGCTTCAAAAAGTTTGTAGGAAAATGGAATTGTGCAAAAAGCTTAGGAAATCCATGGATAAGTTTTTACATTGCACATTTCCACGATCTTTTGGGAGACTCTGCATATTATTTGACCAAGTAATCTTCTGTCCTTCCTACCTACTGCCTACCTTGTCTACCGACCTACCTACCTACTTAAATTTACTGAACACTGTGCCTATGCACAGAGAAGGCAGAAATAACAAGATACACTCTCTACCCTCTCTAGTGTCCTCATTTTGCATAGTAGACTTTGTACTTTGCTACTGTTTTAAATAGTTATGTTCTCTCTTGAAAAAATACAAGCTTGGAGCTCTTGGGATGCAGTTTTCTCAGGGTCCTTGTCATTACCTCTTGACATCATCCCTGGTTTAGGAGAATTCTTCTTAAGATCGGGAAATTGAGAAATTTTTTTCCAATTGGTTTACAATGCAATGGGTACAATTTTAAAATAGTAAATACTTTAATCCTGATAGTTTATTCTGACCTTTAGCTGCTACTATCTTGCACCTAATTAGTCTGAGATACTTTTCCCAGATTGGCTTGCTTGTTTTGGAAACAATTTGCAAACAGTTGCTTAGTATATATTATGTCTTATACTTTTATTTTTTTACAGATATTCCAAAAGTTCAACCGATATTCCTTTTTCCATTCTATTTATCAATTCTTTTGTACTCTTTTCCTCAGAATACACATATTGCTTTTGCTAAAATTGTCCCGATTACTACTGGACTACAACCTTACAAATTGGCCCTTAGAGATGTTTTCTATTATACCTGCTGACTTATCTGGCTTTCTCAATTTGCCCATCCAGTATGGTTGGAGACATCTGATTTTTGATATTTGCTTAGGTGATTTAACGTCAAAGCAAATGATCCATGTTTTTCTGGGAGGTTTGCCATTTAGATGGCTTTGTAAATGGTTATAGCAAAGCTAAACTGATCACACACTAAGTTACTAAGACATTAAGATATCTGCCTCTTAGAGGTGGGCCTCCTTTTCAGAAACATAACCTGACTAGGAAAAGGAATGCTTCAGCTTCAAGAGTTTCAAGCTACACTGTTGAGGTGTATTTTCTAGGCTAAGTAGAGACGGTGGGCAGAAGTCCTTTGGCGGCTGCACTCCCTGTTCTAGATTGCCAGAAGGCAAACACAGTCACTCAAAGCAGAAGGGATTTGGGATAGCCAACTTTTTTGTCATGTTGTGTTTGGTGAGCTCTTAGCTTAACAGCTCCGTGTTTTCGATTCTGGAGGACAGGTGAAAGACAAGAAGGCTTCACTATCCAGGATTTCTGTGACTCTTGAAGCAGGAAGGAGGATAGAGGGAAGGGAGTTGGCTGTGTATGCATGTGTTCCGGGCCAAGTTTAGAGGGTATTCTGATGCTTCTTTTCACCCTAGTTCTGGATGTCCATCGTGGCCACCACTATGCCCATACCCTGCGGAGGCTTCATGCCCGTGTTTGTGTTAGGTAAGTTCTGATGGGAGGCCTGGGCTCTTCCCGAGAGCCTCAATCCAGATATGGAGAAAGTAAGGAAAAGTCTGTGATGCTGCAGGTCTTTGTCTTAGCATCCCAGGAGAGACTGGCCTGAAACCATGCAGGATAAGGAACTTGGATCTCATCACATCCTTCCACTTTTCTCTCTAGGAGCCGCGTTTGGAAGGCTGGTAGGAGAGATCATGGCCATGCTATTCCCTGATGGTATCTTATTTGATGGCATTATCTACAAGATCCTACCTGGGGGCTATGCAGTAATTGGTGAGACACATTCCCATCCCAAGCACTGAGTTCCCAAAATGCCTACATTCAGACTCTCCCATTATATCTTCATTCTAGGTACATAATATCATATTTTTAAAAGATTTATTATTTTATTTGAAGGGCAGAGTTACAAAGAGGCAGAGAAAGAGAGAGGTCTTCTATCCACTGGTTCACTCTCCAAATGGCTGCAATCGCTGGAGCTGGGTCGATCTGAAGCCAGGAGCTTCTTCCGGGTCTCCCATGTGGGTGGGGTTCAGGGGCCAAGGACTTGGGCCATCTTCTACTGCTCTCCTAGGCCTAGCAGAGAGCTGATTGGAAGTGGAGCAGCCAGGACTTGAACTGGTGCCCATGTGAGATGCCTACACTGCAGGTGGCAGCTTTACCTGCTATGCACAGTGCCAGTCCCATATGTTTTTTTTTTTTTTTTTTTGACAGGCAGAGTGGACAGTGAGAGAGAGAGACAGGGAGAAAGGTCTTCCTTTTTCCGTTGGTTCACCCTCCAGTGGGCCCTGCGGCCGGCGCGCTGTGGCCGGCGCACCGCGCTGATCCAAAGCCAGGAGCCAGGTGCTTCTCCTGGTCTCCCATTTGGGTGCAGGGCCCAAGCACTTGGGCCATCCTCCACTGCACTCCCTGGCCACAGCAGAGAGCTGGCCTGGAAGAGGGGCAACCGGGACAGAATCCGGTGCTCCGACCAGGACTAGAACCTAGGGTGCCAGTGCTGCAGGTAGAGGATTAGCCTATTGAGCCGCAGCACCGGCCCCCATATAGTTTTAATTTAGTACTATTTAATTCTATTTTATCCACATAATCAGTCCTTGGCTCTGACTCTCATTAGCTCATATTGAACTTCTATAAGGTTGGTTTCATGGTGTTGAAAGGGGATTATGGAGATAAAAATGAGATAATAAAAGTGAATACACTAGGATTGTGTGTGCATGTTTGATAAGGATTCTTTTTCCTTCCTAAGAATCATGGGACCAATAGTGCAGGTGACTGGCTCAGATTCACTCAACCTGAACTGTGCCAGTACTGATGGAGACTGAAAGCAGAGCAGTAAGAGCTGAGAAACATGAGCTCTCGATTTATTCCTGCCAGGTGTTACCTAGATGATCCTAGAGCAGGTTAGCTGCTTCACTTAGTTCTTTAATCTAAAATGACTTCTGAGATAGAGCCACTTCTAATGCAGCAATCAATTTAGTCCCCAGGGTCATTATGCCTCCTCCCTCCCTTCTCTTTTTACCAAAACCCCATAACACATAAGGCCATGCCTCCCCTTTTAGAGAAACACTAATAGCTCATATGGTACCATTATCATAGTCCCTTTACAAAAGCTGTGTTCATAAATCAAAGTCATATCCTCTTATTCCCCATCTTCATACCTTTCGGATCACCCTCCCTGGTGTACCTTGTCCAATATGTTTTGTGATAGTTTGGTTCCGAAATACATTGCATGCACCAGCAAGTAATGTTATGCCTTCAATATATCCCATTTGTGACTTTTTCTTGTTACATTTTCTTTTCTTTTCTTTTCTTTTCTTTTCTTTTATAATGATAAGGCCCTTTATTTCTTTTCTTTTCTTTTCTTTTTTTTTCTTTCTTTTTTTTTTTTTTTGACAGGCAGAGTTAGTGAGAGAGAGAGAGAGACAGAGAGAAAGGTCTTCCTTCCATTGTTTCACCACCCCCCCAAAATGGCCGCTATGGCCGGTGTGCTGTGCCAATCCAAAGCCAGGAGTCAGGTGCTTCCTCCTGGTCTCCCATGCGGGTGCAGGGCCCAAGCACTTGAGCCATCCTCCACTGCCTTCCCGGGCCACAGCAGAGAGCTGGGCTGGAAGAGGAGCAACCAGGACAGAACCAGTGCTCCAACCGGGACTAGAACCCAGGGTGCCGGCGCCGCAGGTGGAGGATTAGCCTAGTGAGCCATGGTGCCAGCCTCTTGTTACTTTTCATGTATACTTTCCCGACATTTTCCCCATAGGATATTTCTACCATATATTAAATGAGAAATACAGTTGATATATAAGTCAGAAAACAAACAAAATAGGCAAGACCAATTCTGTCTTCACAGAACTTCTAGAATCCATAAAGGTTTTGATCTGTAATGGCCTTAGAAATCATTTAAGGACTCCTTTTGCTTTACAGAGGAGAGCACAGTATTCTACAATAATTAAGATCTACTCATACAGTTGAGAAATAATAGAATCGGGATCTTACGCAGATCTTACTTATCCAAGTCCACAGCATGTTCTTGGCTTTTCACTGCATTCAATCATTAATTATTTTCATCAAGATAAAGTGTCTAACTGGATTTTAAAATGTTTAGTTAAGATTCATTCAAACTTTTAAAAGCGAAGAATGGATAGGACATCAATATCTTTACATTAAAAATGAAAATTTTGACACAAATTTTTTTATTTGCTGAAAGTAACAGAATATCAAAATGATGATTTTTCTGACAGTTCATCATTTTAGTTTCTACTGTTAATAATTATTGCATGAGTGTTGGCACTGAAAGAGTCATGTTTCCCATCCTGTATCATTCCATCACATCCCTCTGTGTCCGGCCTGCCAAGGGCGTCATCCCTAATCCACTGGTGTATTTTTGTGTCATTATAGGAGCAGCAGCATTGACTGGCGCCGTGTCCCACACAGTCTCCACAGCTGTGATTTGCTTCGAATTAACGGGTCAGATTGCTCACATCCTACCCATGATGGTGGCTGTTATCTTGGCCAACATGGTGGCTCAGAGCCTACAGCCCTCCCTCTATGACAGCATCATCCAGGTCAAGAAGCTACCCTACTTGCCTGACCTTGGTTGGAACCAGCTCAGGTCTGGGACACTAGCTGGGATTAGTTCATATTTGGTGGGGGGTGGGAGGTTCTGAGGTTGAGATTGAAGTCAGGGTCAGTGTTTAGGAGCATTGTTTTTAATTATTTCCTTGTTCCCATGTACTTAATAAATACTGTAAGTGACTGAGTTCATGGCCAACCTCATGGAAGGAACGGAAGGGATAGCAAAAGTATAGATAAGGTGGGGTTAACCCACCATGCTTTCTCCCTCCATAGCAAATTTACAATCTTTGTTGAGGACATCATGGTACGTGATGTGAAGTTTGTTTCAGCTTCTTGCACATATGGGGAATTGCAAGCCCTGCTCCAGACCACCACAGTCAAGACTTTGCCACTGGTCGATTCAAAAGGTTAGTGAGAAGGAACGAAGCATACTCCTGAGGTGAGACAGAGAAGCCAGTGTGGTATGGGTTTGTCTTTAGGGCCATCCAATCTGCTATGGGAAGCCCAGCTTGCACTCCTTAGAGAACACGGTCATGCTCAAGGAAGGGAAATTACAGCCATACCTCATGCACAGGAAGACAATTAAACTCCAGTTAAAGAAACATAGTTGACTCTCATTCACAGTAGCCTTGTTCTAAAAGTCGCCATGAGCACACATGGAATTATCAACTGCTGTACTGAACAGCTGCTTCTAGAGGAGGTACAAGGATAGGTTCCTGCGGACCTCTGGTCACATTCTGTCATTTGTTTCTGTTTAAATGCAACTTATTTAATGGGTGTAATTGACTCATTAACACTGAACTCACCAACAACAGTGCTACAGCTCATGCCTGAGTGAAGTGTGTCCAACACACAGACGTCTCTCCTTCATGAGGCACATCCCAGATTCCTTCCTGAGCATAGAGATATGAACTAGACAGCACTGCAGCATTATGTTGGGGCCACTGTAGGCAGCAAAATCACCAACACTAAGCACAAAAATGTTGAAAATGTGGCATTAAATGGGCTGCAAAAAGAACGCTTATTTAGGAAAACTAAAACAAGAAGGCAGAGCACTGCTTTGCTCAACCTCAGCTGGGAACACAGGCACTGGGCAGCTCGAATTTTTGGTTGCTCTGCATATGTCTGAATTACAGTAAACACACTTCCAGTATTGACTTCGGGTTGTATTTTGGTGACCAGGCAAATGAACAGTTAGGGAACCCATGAAGAATGAGCATCAGCTATCAATCTCACGGCCTGTCACAGGCCCTTTGCCACTTAACTAAACCATACCTGTCCTTTTTTTTTTTTTTTAAGCGTCTTCTGACCAGGTTCTTTTTTATTTATTTATTTATTTATTTTTATTTTTTGACAGGCAGAGTGGACAGTAAGAGAGAGAGAGACAGAGAGAAAGGTCTTCCTTTGCCGTTGGTTCACCCTCCAATGGCCACCGCAGCGGGCCCACTGCAGCCAGCGCATCGCGCTGATCTGATGGCAGGAGCCAGGTACTTATCCTGGTCTTCCATGGGGTGCAGGGCCCAAGCACTTGGGCCATCCTCTGCTGCCTTCCCGGGCCACAGCAGAGAGCTGGCCTGGAAGAGGGGCAACCGGGACAGAATCCGGCGCCCCGACTGGGACTAGAACCCGCTGTGCCGGCGCCGCAAGTCGGAGGATTAGCCTAGTGAGCCACGGCGCCGGCCCGTATCTGTTCTTTAATGCCCAACTTGAGGAGCTGTTAGCGTTGCACTTGGAGGGGAGGTGTGCGTGGTTTCCGTAACGGTGATTCACGTTAGTTCACTCTCTCCCTTCACCTCCCTTCCCGCCCACCTCCAGCATTCAACCTGCTTTGTATTATTTCTGACTGTGGTTTACATATCTTGTCTTTCTCTCTAGATTGAGTTTTTTGGAAGGTAGAGACTATAACTTCTCTATCCCCAGAGTGCCTTGTTATAGATATTTATTGGCTAGTCAATAGTTGAATATTTCTCTAGTGTTTGAATACGTGTAACAGAAAAATCATGTAGGATCATTTGAAGTCATTGAGACTGTTACCTTTAATTTCAATCATCAGAATCTCCAGTTTTCTCACATATGATTGGTTCAAATATTTCCTTACATCTCAGATACATCCTAAAGCAGGGAGTGAGGTGCAAAGAGATGCAGGCTTTCATAATAAGGACTAGGACTTCACCAGTCTTAGTAACCCTGTGCAGTTTCATGGCCTTAACACTTAAAGAAAACGTGACTGATAGCAGAATTTCTATAAACATGCCAAAGACCCCAGGAGACAGGCATTTTGTTTCAGCCCTAAGGCCTAGGTTCTTTAAGTACTGAGATCTCAGCAGGAGTCTCCCGTTCCCCTGTTCCAGGATAGAGGAGGTAACCTGTGAATTCCCGAGACGGCTTCCAAAGTGTTCCCATCTCAGCGTCCCAAAGGCTTCCCCTCTCTCTGTGTGGCCAGGGTTGAGTGTCTCTTCATACCTTTGAGCTCACCTGGTTGTAAACAGTCTGTAAGGGCTGCGTGGAAATAAGAACACATTAGCATCAATTAGCGTGCTTGCAAGTGCTAAATGGGTGACATGAAAGGCTCGGGTAGGTCCGGCCTGCTCGGTCTGACCCGAGGTTGCAGGAAGAGAGGACACGCCGCGCAGGGCTGCCGCAGCTCCCGAGCGGGCAGAGCCTAGGGTAGCGGGGAGGCTCAGGCTGAGCGTGCATCTTCCCCAGATTCCATGATTCTGCTGGGCTCCGTGGAGCGCTCGGAGCTGCAGGCCCTCCTGCAGCGCCACCTGAGTCCTGAGCGGAGGCTGCGGGCGGCGCAGGACATGGCGCGCAAGCTGGCCGAGCTGCCTTTCGACGGCAAGGCGCGGGGGCTCCCCGGCGGCGCGCCCCAGGGCCGGCCCGAGTCCTTCGCCTTTGTGGATGAGGATGAGGACGAGGACCCCTCCGCCAAGACCGAGGTGACCGAGCTGGGATAAATCGGGGCAACGGGACAGGCGTCAGCAGGGGTCGCCAGCGACATCTCCACCGGTCGGTGATGGCTGGGCTGGGCTGTGACAGGAGCAGGGAGGGTAGGTGAATTCTGCATCTGGCGCGAAGGGACCAGTGCCTGGGGCCCAGGGACAGACGGAGGTGCGGGAATTCTGAACTGGGGGTGTGTACGGGGGGCAGAGTTAGGCTTCCCTGCACCCGTAGCGGTAAAAGCAGAGGAACACACAAGGCAGCCTCTTCTCTGAGAATTTGTACCGTTTCTTACAGCTGCCTCCACTTCCTCCACCCCCTGCTCCTCAGCCCTTCCCTGCTGCGCCACCATCCTCTGAAGAGCCCAACGGGCCCCTGCCCAGCCACAAACAGCAGCCAGAAGCCCCAGAGCCTGCAGGTGAAGACCCTCGACATGGCCCCTGTGGGTATCTGCACCCCCCTCCACTCAGGGCCACCCTAGGAGGAGGTGCTTGGTCATCTTTCTCTGTATTGCCCGGTCAAGAGTGGGGGCAGAGGTGGATGTAGGGGAGAAGAGAGGCGTCTACAGAGGGGGCAAGTACAGTCCTCCCAGGAGCCCCTGGTCGTGTCCTCTGGGACAGACACCATTTCTGTTTCCATCCGCTCACACCTCTCAGGTGGAAGACCCTCCATCTTCCAGTGCCTGCTGCGCTGCTTGCTGGGCAGATCTCGCCCTGCGAAGAAGAAAACAACCCAGGTGAGAGGAGATGTGTGGCGAGGACGAGGGCAAGGGAGGCTGACTCAGCAGCAGGGCAGGGACCCCGCTGAGGAGCTGACCCACCGGAGGGGCTGATGGTTTGGAAGGAGGCACGTTGTCCCGGACTGGGAGAAATGGCTGTTGGCCAGCGTGGGAAGACAGGGGATGGGACTTGCACCTGTGTCTTTCTTCTCTAGGATCCCACCGATTTAGTGGACAACATGTCACCTGAAGAGGTACGTAAGGGAAGCAGCAAGCTGGGCTGGGTGTTGTCACGGAAGATGCTGCTAGCTTTTTCTTTTTTAGTAATTGTGTTGTCAGAATGGAAATACATGCGTGTAGACAGGAAAGCGTGTTAAGAGGTTGGAATAAGGTAGGATTGTGGAGGGACATGGTGGCATTCTCAGGACAAACTCATCTCAGAAGGGGTAAGCTTTGAGTGTCCACGTGTGAACGGTGACACGGTGCTAAAATGAGCTTTGAATCTTTTAGAAATAAGGGATGTCTGACCAGGCAGTGGCTACTCAGGATAGACAAGCTTCCCTGATGTAAAAGGGCACCACGGAGCCAGCCCTGAAAGAAAACAATGGGGAAGATTTACATCGGAACTACAAAGGGGGAGGGCGCGCCCTGAGACTGCTGGCAACTGGAAGTTTTCAGGCAGCAAGACTTGGGAAGAGCTTGGACGCAAAGGCGGATGGCAGTGGTGTGTGGTCAGGACAACGGCCTATTACCTAGGGGAGGGAGCTATCAAGTCTGTGAGAGAGAAACCAAGCATGCTTAGTGCTTCTGGTCACGGGGAGTGAACTGGATGAGAAGCAATGGTCGGGAATAGGCAGCTAAATAGTGCCAATCAGAACATGCCCTAGGAGTTCCGGGGGAACCGGAAGAATCCATTAGCAACTATTCTGCACAATAAAAGATATGCAGGCTCCCTGCGAAGACTGGAGAGGAAGAGCTTTTACAGCATGTAGCTGATGAAAAACCGTGACGGATACCATTTTAAAATAAACATCCTGTTGGACGTGCAGAATAAATATGTACTGAAGATTGAAAGCACTTCAGGTTAGAGAAAGGGGTTGTGAGTGACAGGAGAGAAGAGAAACCTTCCCTCTCTCCCCTTTCCATCTTACACACACACTTCTGACACATGCCTTCTGGAAAAGTCAAATAGATGGTTGCAGAAGAAGAAGAGCTACCTCTGCCCACAGGTGGGAATTGGAAGGGCCATAGCTGCGATTGAGGAGTACTTTGCTAGGCTGCTGAATCCAACTAGATAGACAGAGAGAGAGAGAGAGAGAGAGAGAGAGAGAGAGAGAGAGATATAGATAGATAGATAGATAGATAGATAGATAGAGATAGATATATAAAGATAGAGATAGATAGAGATAGATAGAGAGATAGAGATAGAGATAGATGGATAGAGATAGAGAGATAGAGATAGATGGAGAGAGAGAGAGAGAGAGAGAGAGAGAGAGAGAGATGTACCAAACAGAGAAAACTAGTTAGGCAGGCAGTCTCGCTGTTTAACAACTGCTGGAAATAAAGTGCAGCCAGGTATAAAAAGGAGATCTGTCACACATTTCTAGATTATGTCTTTCCCCAGGAAGACTTTAAGTCCCTACCAACTCCTATGTGACCCAGCCAGGGTCAGTGTGACACATTGGAGGTCCAGAAGATCCAATAGCAGTGAGGATCTTTTGAACATGATTTTCCAACCAGATCAGATGACACTGTTGACAATACCATGTTGTTGATATTGACAAAAAACAGTAAGAGAGCAGTGTGGAAATTGTGAAAAAAATTTGGTTACAAGTCGCCAAAAGTCCCTGCTATGATGTGTTTAATCCTGCGTAATCTGTTTAGAATACACCCAGTTTAAGCTCTGGTTTCTAATTGGTGCTACACTTTTTTGAAGACCTCCTCTTGACAAAAGCCAAGGAGTGAGGGGGTATACCTGGAATATGATACCTGGCCAAAGTTAGAAGCCCAGTGCCACCAGGACTGATTGCAATCTTGGACAAACAACTTAAGCACCCTGGGTCTCTGTTTCCTTATCTGTAAAGTGAAGATACTGGGGGGGGGGGGGCGGGGAGGGGCGGTGTGCAGAGCGCAGAGAGGATTAAATGAGTTGCAATTAGAATAATGCTTGGGACAGAAGTGCTCCATAAACACTTGCTGGAAATGTTGCTGCTGTAGCTGTCACTAAGGCACAGCTGGAACCTCAGATGGCCAAGGGGACAGGATCAACCAGACCACCTGAGATCCCCCATACACAAGTCCTGTTGACAGCATACCTAAGTGGGCATCTGTACTGCACCATGAGGGCTGGTTAAACCCTGTGTGAACCTTTAGTCAGGAGGGTGAGAGTTTAGAGATGTGATAGTGGCCCAGAACTGTCGGCAAAGGACAGACAGGTGGAGGGAACACCACTGTGGACACACACCAGACACCAGAACTGGGGACAGTCTTCCGTGACATGCTGTCTAGCATGAAGGCTGTGCATGTGGACAAATACATCATGCAGAGGGTCCTGAAGAGTGATTTTAGACAACTCCAGGTTCACTTAGGAAAGCCAGAGGTATAGTGGGTCATTTGGAATCTTGGGGGTATTGGCGTGCCTGTCAAAGCATAGCTGGCCTTTGTACGTCTGTCACAGACAACAAAAACAAGCAAAACCTAACCAAAAATGGCTTTGCTCAATCAGTTAAATGCCATGCCATCCGGCTCAGCCCTTTGAAATCCACAAGCATTTGCTGTGTTCTGTCTCTCACCCTCTCAAGGAGCTCATGTCCAGTGGGCAGAGGTGAGATAAATGCCAGTGCTGGAGTCTGTGGCCAGCGCCTTGTCGGAAAAGGAGACACCTACAGTGTACTGTAGGAATTGCGTGCGGGGTGTGGGAAGTACAGGGAATGCACGCAGTACTGGGATGGGGGGCAGGGAGGGAAATCTGGTGCTGAGAAGAGACATTTGGGGGGTGTGTTTGGCATAGAAAGTGGTCTGGTTTGTCCGGGGTGAACCAGTATATGGAAGTGCTCGCTCTCTCAAACAAAAACAGAAGTAAAAATAGAAAGACTGGAAATGGAGGTTGGAAATCACAGATGCTTGAGGCACTGCAGGCTGGCAGGGTCGGGGGACCAGAAGAGGGAGTGATGTTCCAGGTGCCTGAGTGAAGGGTGGGTTTGGAGCCTGATGGGTGAGGAAGGCAAAGGTGTGGTCCCCTGGGGAGAAGGGGCAGCTGCTGATGGGAAAGAATCCTGACGGTTCCTACAGGCAGGCTTCCGGCCTGGCTGGGAGGCTCCCTTAGGATCAGAGCAGGTGGCACCTGAGGCTGGGGGGTCCGTGGTTTTGCTGACTGCCCTGCTCTGCCCCACAGATCGTGGCCTGGGAGCAGGAGCAGCTGAGCCAGCCCGTCTGTTTTGATTGCTGCTGCATCGACCAGTCTCCCTTCCAGCTGGTGGAGCAGACCACGCTGCACAAGGCGAGTGCTTGCTGACTGCTCGGGGCTGCAGCGCGGGCAGGGGAGGCAGGCGGGCGCGAGGCCCACACTGACCTGTGCTCTCCACACCCAGACTCACACGCTCTTCTCGCTCCTGGGCCTTCATCTCGCCTACGTGACCAGCATGGGGAAGCTCAGGGGCGTCCTGGCGCTGGAGGAGGTAATAGCAGTGGGTGGCACTTGAGCAGTGGGAGGAGGTTGTGTGGTCACTCCAGGAATCCCCCTAGGTTTCCCTCTCTGTTTCTCAAGCAGAGATTGGAGGGCAGTTGGAGGCAGCAGGTGGGAGGCAGACACCAAGCCTATTGTGGCCTCAGTCCTCCTCCCCAGGTGGGCCTCCTGTGGTCTTCCCTGGAGAGTGTGGGTTTGAGATGGGGGTTCAGGCCTTAGGCACAGTTTCCTGCGGGTGTGCTATGGGGAGGAGGGCAGAGGTGGGTTGTAGCTGAAGCAAGGCCCATGGGGGTCTGAGTCGGGGGAACAGGAGACCGCCGCTCTACAGGCAGCTTTTGTGTCTTCTCCCTTTCGTTGCTCAGCCCTTCTCTCCCCCCACCCCCGTCCTTTTGCCCTTCCTTGTATGCTCGTCTCTCACGTCTGTTTTCTCCCACTGCCCCATCTTCTTTCCTTCTCCCTCTGCACCCCAGCTGCAGAAGGCCATCGAGGGGCACACCAAGTCCGGGGTGCAGCTCCGCCCTCCTCTTGCCAGTTTCCGGAGCACAACTTCAACTCGAAAGAGCCCTGGCGGACCACCCCCTCCTGCAGAGGGCTGGGGCCTGCCCGAAGACGGAGCCGGGGCCCCAGGAGCAGGAGATGTGGCACCTGCGCCCCCAGATTCCCCCATGCCGTCACCCTCCCCCGAGCCCCCTCTCTCCCTGGCCCCAGCCAAGGCAAGGGGCGAGCTGGAGGCAGCCGAGGAGCTGGAGCTGCTGGAGAGTGCAGGGCCGGACGAGGAGCTGGCGGATATCTTGCAGGGCCCCAGTCTGCGGTCCACGGACGAGGAGGATGAGGATGAACTGATCCTCTGACCGTCACTCTGGACTGTGCAGACTGCTGAGAGGCCCATGCCAGAGGGTGGATTCGCACGCGGCGGACGAGAGGCCACGTCGATACTTTGGCACCCCCCCACCAGGAATGCTTTTTTAATGTGAGAGTGATGATCTTAAAGGAGTCAGCACTCAGGCAGAGAGGAGCTTGGTCAATCACCTGGATTGCTTGCTCCAATCCCAGGCGGGCAGGTGCTTCAAACCCAGGTGAGCCCCCTGGTATTCCATGGGGCTTCCTGCGTCTCCTGCTGTGGGGGTGGGGAACACCCTGCCTCCTTTATCCCCACCCCCCACAGTGCCCCAGCGTTCTTGTTCCTGTGCCTCCCTGGCCTTGCCTGCCTGTCATTCAGTTTCCAAAGCGTGTGGCTGAGGGGAAGCCTGGAATGAGTGTGGACCTTCAGGTACCACATTGGAGGAGGAGATGGGACCACCTCATGGTCTTGTGCATTGACCACCCTGGGATGTGCCTCCAAACCATCCACGGTTGCTTCTCTGGGAGTCCCCCAGACCTCCCACATGCCCACACTCCTCACCAACTCCACAGACCCCACCCTGGCTCCCAACACTGTCTCCAGTCCAGAGCCATGACTAGGGTTGTGAAAGGCCAACCACATTCCCCCTCCTCTGTCCCCTGCTTCAAGCAGGGAGATGCAAACCAAGGCACTATCGAGGGCCGCCTCCTAGAAGAGAAAGGCCGCCAAGGCTCCACGGGGAAGGGGCAGGTGTCTTGTTGGTACCCCATCGTGTCCGTGGTATTCTCCGAGTCCCACTGGCAGGAAGCCCTCCCTTCACATCACAGCTTCCTGGGCCTCCGGTTTCCCCAGCTGCTCCCTGAAGATGCATCCTTGTTCACCCCGCTGCGGTTATGGACTGTCCTGTAAGGGTCAGCTCTGCCTTGGAGCCACTCTGGCTCGGGCTTCTCCTGCGAAGCACCCAGGCTCTGAGCACAGAAGGCCCTGGGTCACTCAGACACTTCCTCAGGTGCTTCCTGCAGGGGTGGAGGGTTGGAGTGCAGGGAGTGGCAAGGTGCAGAAACCTGGATGCACGCCCAAGGCTCTCCTCCACCAGCCCCGTATGCCTGTTTTGTTCTGCAGTTGGGTCCCTCTCTAACATTCTCCTGCTGCCCTTCCCCCGTGTCCAGTCTTCTCCATCACCCAAATAAGACACTCATAGCCAGAGGATGCCACCACATTGTGTTTAGTGTCACTGAACACAGCCTCTGGCCCTCTCCAGCATCACGTCCCTTCCACCTCCCCAGGCCAAGAGAGAGACACTGAAGCCTGAGAATGGGGACTGACGGTGGGCACAAGCCCGTGCCCGTGTATATATGCTGTTTATGTATATTTATATAGACTCCTCTCTGTAATAATATATGTCATAGAACCTCTCTTGGGCCTGGGATGGGGATGTTACATTAAGAAAACATGCTAAGACTGGCCCTTCCCAGTCCTGGAAGACAAAGTGTGGGATGGATAAGCAGGGGCAAGGAGAACACAATGAACTCGTTCCCCAAGATCCCCTCCTCCATACATGGGTAGGAAGCTGTGGGGGCAATGGAAGGGGAGGAATGGAAGATCTGGGTTTTCATTTAATAAAGTCAATTGAAAAAGAAAGTGCATAGGTCCCCCCACCCCCAAAGAAAATCATTTAGCAAGAGCAGTTTCATTCACAGGAATAGAAAAACAGCCCTGCTCCAGGACTGCTGTAACACGTGCTGCACAGCCTTTAACCCCAAATAAAAAGCAACCCTTCCCCACCCCCCAGCAGCCTCTTCCTGCACATGCCCCTCCCCTCCTGCTAAAATAGGCTAGAAGCAAACCCCATGCACCCTGCCCCAGCACCAGGGAAGCAGTCCCCCCTTCCAAGAAGAGTCCCCAGATGGTCCCGGGCCAGCTCCTGGGGTCTTCTCTCCCTTCAAGGTGGGTTGGGGTGCCTCAGAACGGCACACCCCACCTGCTGCCTCCAGACCGCGGCAGTGTGCCAGCACCCTGGCAGTGCCACGGCCCTGCTCACGTGTGAACCCGAGATCTTTAGTCGCCTTTCCTCAGGAACCATTTGTCTTCTTAGGCAAGGGAGAGCGGGAAGAAAGCTGCTCGAGTCTGCCCTTCCTAACTCCCCAGGGCCCTGAGCAAAAAGCAGCCGTAATAATGAACGCACTCGCTGGACTGGACACCCACTGAGATCCGGTGAAGACTATGGAGCACTAAGAGACGGAGATGAAGAAGATAGAGCAGGTTGCACAGGCAGAGAGACCCCCAGGGAGAAGGGTGACGTGAACATGCAAACCCCCACAGGGCCTGTGGCAGGAGACTGGGCATGGTCGTCCTGGACCACTTCCCAAAACTCCTAGATGAGGTGCTGGTACGCCAAGTCAGGAAACATCCATAAACACAGCGGCTGCCTCCCACTCAGGCAGCGTTATCTGGGATAAGTGACTGCTCAGCCACGTGGGCTCACCACACCTACTCCTAGGCTTCCTCCAAGCACCAATCGAGATGACCATCATCCCCCTCCCCTGAAGACACAGGACTGCTGCCCGTATGTGTACAAGTGTGTGAACTTGATGTGGAAAGGCAGGGTCAAAGATGGACAGAAACCCCCCAACTCTCAACCTCCTCATTTCCAAGCAATCACAGTCCGGGACTTAAGGGTAAGGGGTGGTTTGTGCCCTGGGGACAACTGTGCTCCCCTCCCAGCAGAGGACCAGAGCATGGGTAGGATGCTGGAGCCTTAGATGGGCACAAGGAAAGAGGAAAGCTGGGCAGTGAACCTCTCAGGCTTCTCTCTGCCCCAAACACTGCCTATGCCAAGGGCCAGGGGTGGGCTACTACTGAGAGAGGGGCCAGGCGCTTGCCAGCTCTCCTCTGCCCATCCCTGCAGTCATGTGCTCTCACAACAGTGCTGGCATCCCATGATGCTCTCAGCACCTCTCCCCCTCCGCCCACCCCCTCTGCCACCCGAGAGTGGAAACAGTGTGGGCAGGCAAACTCGTGCCTCACTGTAAACCATCCTGGAAGTAAGACTGCACAGATTCTCCTCTCTTCCTCCGACAGGCGGTCTCGGGAGGGAGGGAGGACACCGTGGAGGACATCTTAGGAGTCCTGGGAGGAACTGGCGGAGGGACAGAAGGAGCTGAGCACCTGCCTGGCCTCAGCCGCCAACCCAGCATAGCCTACGGAGTGACAGCACCAGACTCCTCCCTCCACCCTGCTCAACCCTGAGTCCCCAGTAAGTTATAAAAATGTAGAAAAGGCAAAGAGAAAAGTGTAAACAGCTCCAGAGAATTAGGGGTGGGTGGGGGGAGACACAGCCTCCATGCTTCCCCCCCCACTGGCAGGGACACCTGCATCCTGTGTCAGCATATCTGAGACGGATATCGCCTCACCCTCAGGGTCAAGGCTCCTGGAGCAGGGGACAGAAGAAGGCAGAAAAAGGAGCAAGACTGGAGCAGCCAGCCCCAGCTGGGTCTTTTCCCAGATCCTGAGAGTCCTCCTTCCAGCCACATTAGTTCTTGGTCTCATCAGTGACCCTCTTGTCTCTGAACAGGCCTTGCTGTAAGGAGTCACGCTTGTGCCCCCAATAAACCCCAGTAGCCACGTCCACCTTCTCCTCGAGTCCTGATCTTAGAAGCCCAGTCACCCGCAGAGGGCAGCCACACCACACTCAGCAGGCTGTCAAGGCCACGTCAAGGCCATGTCCAGCAGCCCCTGAGCTCTGCTGCTTGCAGTAGGGAGGGGTTGGGGCCACAGCCAGAGGAAACAGTTGGGAAAAGCAAGAGTGAAATGGAACAGAGGCATTCAGACAGCACAGCCAAGGCTCCTGGAAGACGACATCAGGGAGTGGAGAGCTGCGATCCAGTCTCCAGCACAGCCACTGCATGCCCCTGTCCTCAGGCTGCACACTCTGGAGACTTCATGGGCACAGACTTGGAAGCCCCGGGCTGTGGACCCCTTCTCCCACAGCTATGCCAAGTTCACAGCCTTCCAGTCGCCTGGGTCTCAGTCCCCAGACCTGTGGTTTCTGGAGTTTAAGCCTGGATGAAACCCAATCCCGGTCCTCCACTTGCTGGGCAAGGACTGGAAGCTCCCAGGTTCCCCGCTGTCTTCTGCCCAGGTTCAGCTGTGCTGCAGGGGGTAGGGAGGGTACGGGTTGCAGCCATGCCCCTCAGGCAGGAGTGGAGTGGGAAGAAGCTAATTGTTGGCCTCACCCTCCTCCTCATCGAAGGACTGCACACCCGAGGATGTGACGTCAGACACCTTCCGACTGAGAGCAGTGGACATCTCAGGGTCTTCTCGCGGGGAAAGAGACTCCAGGTCCCGGCATCCCGCATCCTCTTCCTCCTCAGGGGCCAGTGGCCTCTTTTCCTCCTCGGCAGAGCCCCTTGCCAGGTCCACCCCGCCCACCCCTGGAGCCCAGTCAGTGTCTCCCCCCAGCAAAGGTGGAGGCTCCTGAGCAGAGTATCCCGAAGCAGGTTGGGAAGGTCCCATGTCATGCAAGCTGGGCTGTGAGTCATCAAATGCAGGGCCAAGATAGGATCCTGTAGCCGGAGAGGCAATGAGGGACTGGTCGCTTGCTTCCCAGGCATCCGATGAACCCAAACAGTACATGCCCTGGGACACATAGGAGTGAGGCCAGCCGTCCATGGGGGCTTGAGCAAGGCCATCTGTAAAGAGAATGAGGGTGGTTGGTGGGCCACAGAACAGCAAAGGCAGTGCAAACAGACAGCACCAAGGAGTGAGGGGAAGGCAGAAAAGGTACATGGAGTAGGGGACACGGTGGGACAGTTGAGACAGGCAGGAAGCCTTGAAAGAGCAGAGGTGAATGGAGGTTGCCTAGATAGCTGGAGAGGCTTTTGAGGCCATGTCTCTCACCCTGACTCTCCATCAACTCCTGGTAGTTGTCACTGTAATTGCAGCCCAGTGGCTCCTGGGTAGAGTTGACACTCATGTCCTCACCATCCATAGACGACCAGGCCATAAGTGTGGCTTCTGAGATAGCAAACTGTTCCATGACGCCTGTGAGAAGAAACACTGTCACCACAAGACACCTCCAAGGACTTTCAGACACACAAATGGGGCAAGGGTAAATCTTAGTGCAGCTAACTGTTCCACAGAAAAGCAAGCAAGTCACTGATCTAATTTTGATTTTTCTAATAGCCCATCTAAGAAAATTATAAGTAAACAGTTGACATTCATTTTAATAATATATCTTATTTAACCCAACATATAGTAAGCATTATCATTTCAACATATAATCAATATAAAATTAATGATAGTTTATATTTCCTTTATACAAAGTCTTTGAAAGCAGTTAGTATTTTACACTTACAGCACATCTCCATTCGGACTAGCCACATGTCAAGTTCTCAATAGCCACATGGGGCCATTGGCTAGTGTATTGGACAGCACAGCCTTTGCATATGCCCCGAAACAAGGCAAAATCGTGGGGGACTTCCCAGAAGGCCAGATTTAAGATTCCTAGGGGGAAAGAGTTGGGGGTCTTCTGGTGAAATATCCTAAGGGATTAAAATGAGGGATTTCCAGAAGTTTAACTTTGAAGGACTTTAGGGATCTTACTATTGGTGGTCAAGGACACAGGAAGCTACATGGAGGCGCTAGATCAACAAAGAGTATCAGGGGCTTGTGGGTCTACAGTGATATAAAGCTCAGGGACTGGAAGGAAATGGGAGGGTACCACAGTGGGAATGGCTGGACTAGCGGAAGGCATGAGTAAGTTGAAGCTTACGTTGCTACTGCACTACCCGACCTCCCTAACTGTCCTCTACATGTCTGCCCCCTCCCCACTGATACTCCTCCTACCACCCACACCACCAGCACGAAGACACTTCCCCTGTCTGCCAGACCTGTCACTCTTCCTAGGTGTGTGCACAGGTATTCCTGCATGCTTGTCATCACATCTGTACTACTTTCCTGGAGTACAATTAGCCCTCTTCCGTAGATCACCACCTCCCCACCCCAAATTCCCTTCATCACCAAATGTTGTCACAAGTAATGAGTCTAGTAAGTGAATTCATGGCACAAAATGCTAATGGACAGAGTCTAGAAGAGATCCCCAAGGGCTTTTCTTCTTGTACTTCTAGAAATATGAGCAGAAGCAGAGCCTTTTAAAGCCCAAGGCCCTATGTTCTCCCCTGTACTAAAGGAATGCAGGGGTTGGACAGTCCCACAACATGGGAGAGAGGGGCCCACAAATCCCATCTAATTTTCCCTTTTCGGAGATGGCAATAAGAATAGGCTTGAGGGCACCTATTAGGATGAGAATTAACAATTCAGAATGCTTAGATTTACAGCTGTTTGGGGAATGTAAGGCTATGGTCAACACACGGACCTGGCCAATCCTGCCACAGGGGATCTGGCTAGAGGATCAGTCTCTGGCCATCCCTACGACTGTCTCATGAGGGTTCAGAATACAAGTACCTGCCAGAAACCGCGCCTCCTTCTCGCCATCGCTGAGGTCAGAGTAGGCGTCCGTATCCCTGCGCACGGCCTCGTGGCTGTGTTGTGGTTGAATGGCTGGTGCCTTCCCCCAGCCCTGCCACTCAATCATGTGGGCTACCCGGCCTTGCCCCATGGCTGTGGGCTTTGTCACATGGTCCTTCATGCTTCGTGAGATCCCTAAGGAGCCAGACATTCTCCACATGGTCCAAAATGTCACACAATATCCATGCCAGGCCCTGCCCACCAGCACCGCCCCAGTCACATGGGACGCCATTCCACTGGGGCATGTATGAGGGTGCATTGCAGGATGGGAGAGGCCGGACACTAAGAGATCAGGAGTGTGGGTGTCCGGCCTGCGGGAGCAAGGGGATTAGGACCAGGAGGCTTTAGGTATTCTCCTGCGTGGGGGCGTCCCAGGTCAGGAGTCTCACCTGAGAATGACGACTTGGCCAGGGCCCCGATGCCGTAGGCGTTAGAGTTTCGCTTAAGCTTCGGAAGAATGGAAGTGGTGTCCTCCATGGAGAGCTGGGATAGGAAACATGGGAGGCAGGGCAGAAGAATAAGAAGGCAAGGGGGTGCCTTAAGTATGGAGGAGAGTCCGTGGTTTCCAAGAAGGACATGAGGTAGGACAAGTGATAAGAAAAACCATCATTCCTCCCAGTCCCAGGGAGGCATGTGCCCCAACCACGCTTGTAAACCGGAGGGCAGATAGAGAATGCAAGGACTCTCACGGTGCACCATGTTCTCTGGGAGCTCTAAGGGAGAACACGAGGAAGGGGAGTCAGGGTAGGTCAGGGGAAGTAGGGGCAGCTGTACTCACGTTGATGCCATCCCAGGAGAAATCCGTTCGAGTTTGCTGTGAGGAGAGAGGAAAAGGAACGGGTATTCCAGGCACTTCCAGGATTGCAAGTAGCCCACCTTCCTCTGAGGGACTTCCAGAGGCACGGAAGTGGGGAGGCGGCACCCCAGTGGGCAACGTTTGGCATGCGCTTTGAGGAGAGCAGAAAGAAATCTTCTGGAAAAGAGCTAGCGTTTGGGATGCTGCCTTGGGATTTCCAGAGAGAATTCAAGGGCCAGGCAGCCGGAGAGGGGATCTTTGTTCCTGACAGTTCTCAGAGTCCCTCCGAGGTCGCTGAGCGAGGGGACTGAGCAGCGAGGGTCTCACCTCTGTAGACGGCCGGTGGAGGCTGCTCCCGTGCAGTGAGCTGGTGCTGTCCATGTTGATTTGGTCGGCATCCTTCAGGCCCTTCCAATCCACTGCGATCACCTCGTTCCCTGCGGTGGCCGGAAGGTTAGCTGCCCTCCTGGGCCCCCCTTGGGCGCTCCTCTCTGCAGGCGCGGCCGCGCGTGAAGACCAGCCCTCCACACACCACTCCTGACCGCACCTTCCTTTTACGACCCTACTGTTCCCAAGGTTTTGGCGAGGGAAGTAAGGATGCTAAACCAACCTGCTCCTGTTTCACCCAACTGAGAACAGCACACCCAGAAAACAGTTATTTTTGGTTGCTTAAAAACTTATCTGGCCGGTGCCACGGCTCACTAGGTTAATCCTCCGCCTTGCGGCGCCGGCACACCGGGTTCTAGTCCCGGTCGGGGTGCCGGATTCTGTCCTGGTTGCCCCTCTTCCAGGCCAGCTCTCTGCTGTGGCCCGGGAGTGCAGTGGAGGATGGCCCAAGTGCTTGGGCCCTGCACCCCATGGGAGACCAGGAGAAGCACCTGGCTCCTGGCTTCGGATCAGCGCAGTGCGCCGGCCGCGGCGGCCATTGGAGGGTGAACCAACGGCAAAGGAAGACCTTTCTCTCTGTCTCTCTCTCTCACTGTCCACTCTGCCTGTCAAAAAAAAAAAAAAACAAAAAACAAAAAACAAAAAACAAAAAAAAAAAAAACACAAAAAACTTATTTGCTGCTGTCTACACAGGGAGGGGTCCCGAGTTCTCTTTGGGGGTTTCCCCTGGAGCCGGAATTTTCACTTGGCCATGTCAACAACCATGGGCAGAGCATCCCCACTGGGAAGGGAGGAATGTGCCTTCTCTAGTGCCCCCCATAAAGTCAGTGGGTCCTTCTGACAGGAAGAGGACTTGGCGCCAACAGAGGGAGGGTTGGAAGCCGGAAGCCGGGAGAGTGGAGGAAGAGAGGGGTGAGGTGGAGACTGCATACCTGCCAGCTGGGAGCCAGGTAAGGGATATAAGAGCAGCGACAGGACAGAGTGGACAGGGAGGAGGACTTTTAAAACAGGCCTGAAAGGCACAGGGATTCCAGTGTGACAAGGCAGAAGCTCCTGGGAAGGAGTGACAGGGTTTGGTGGCTGACTGGGAAAGTGGAGGGCTGGGGCGCAGGGTGGTAGCTTCTGGAGCAGCCATGGGGGTGACGGCAGAAGGAGGCTGCCCCACCATCCACCCTAAGATCCTGCAGACACGCGAAGTTTCATGGTTCCGAGAGGCCCACTTTTGGGAACAGGAGGATGGGAGGAGGCACTCCTCACGCGAGAGCATGGCAGGTACCCATGGCGGGGGGTTTCGGTGCATTGGACCCCGCCAAAGTCGGCCTGCTCTCCCTTGGGGCTCCAGGGCAGCGGCCATATGGGTCAGATCAGAGGCTGCGGCTGGAGGGGGAGAGGAGAGCTGGACCTCTGGACACAGACAGCAGGAGTGGGGCAGGCAGAGAACCATCTCTGAGGAGAGGAGAGATGGGGGGGCACAGTGGGAGAGAAGGAGGGGAGGTGGCCTCGGTGGGAGAGGGAGAGCTGAGTCAGAGCCTCAGGCGGTAGGGAGTAGAGGTGACTGCCGAGGAGGAGGGGGGTATCCATGGAAATAAACCGGGTCTCAGAGAAATCAGGCTTCCGGGGAGTGAGTTTGTTTGTAATAATAATACGAATTATTCTCTCAGCCTGAGGTCACTGAGCTCGTCGTAGGCGGGAGAAACTGGGAGTTGGAAAGGGGAAAATTGGGGGTTTGGGGAGAGGGCTGGATGAATTCCTTGAGCTACAAAAGTGGAGTGGGGGCAAGGGGGCGGTGGCTAGGCACGGGCTGAAGGGAGCCGACGGAAGGACGCCAGGCGCCGCTCAGCCCTCCCCCAGTCAAAGGTAAATAAAGAGCGGGCCCCGCCCCGCCAGCCCCCGCGGACAGGTGCAGTCGGGTCCCGGGCCCCACCCTTTCTGAAAGGGGGCTCCCCACCCCTCTCTGTCCCTCCAGACCCCGGCCTTCTCCCCGCGTCCCCCCCCTAGCCCAGCCCAATCCCTCCGGGAGTGGAACCCGTGCCCCCCAGGGAAGCACCGGGCTCATCCCGCCCCCGCCCCAGAGGGAAGACGCACGTGAACAAAGCCATTCGGGGGAGGCAGGAACGACGGAAAAAGACAGCCGAGAGGGAAGGCGAGGGGCAAAACACCCATGCCAGATGGAGGGCGGCTGGGGGTGGGGGCGGGGGCGTGCGAAGGGCCCGGGCGACTGAGAACCAGGCAGGGGGGCTGCTCCACCCGCCCGGGACCGAGGCGGCGCCGGGGACGGCGGAGTACGGCGGAGGCCCCGGGGTTTGGGGAACGGAGCTCAGCGCGGAGCGCAGGGGCGGCGGAGGGCGGTGATGGAGAGATGCCCGGGAGAGGCAGCGCGCCTGCGGGAGGGCCACGGGCACGGCCAGGAGCCGGGATGCACGCGAGATCCGGAGGCGCGGGCGGACAGCGGGGAGGACGCGGGGAAGCAGGGGTCGCGAGCAGGGAGGCAAGTGGAGGCGCGAGGCAGGGCCGGCGGGTGCGGAGCGAGGGACCCCGAGGGGCTAGGGCGGGTGGGGGAGGGGCCAGGGGACCCCCGCGCGCCCGCGGTACCCACCCACTGTCCGCGAGCCGATGCAGCCCATGGCTCTGGGGGCCTCGGGGCCGGGCCCTCACCGACTCGGGGCGCGCGCCGGGGGGAGCACCGGGAGCCGCGCCGCCGCCCCAGCCGCTCTGCAGCGCCGCGGCTGTCTCCGCTCGGCTCCGCTCCCCCCTCCCCTCTCCATCCCTCCCCACGGCAGCCTCAGTCGCCGCCGCCGCCGCCGCCGCCGCCGCCGCCGCCTGGCTCCCCCGCCCCGGCTCGGCTCGCTGGCGGCGGCCGGGGAGGGGGCGGCCCGGGGATTGGCTGCTTGCGGTCCCTCCCCACCCCTGCCTCCGATCCCCGCCGCGGGGCGGGCTGCGGGCCCTCCCCCACCGGTACCCCTCCCACGCGCCCAGCCTGCTCCGACCTAGCCTTGAGCCCAGGGCTGCTCGCCCGGGGTCCTGCCGGTCACCCGGAGAAGGCCTGGCTGGGGTCCCAGCGGAGGGGTCTGAAACCTGGGGCCCGCCCTTGGGGTCTGGTGGGTGGACTTTGAGGCCAGGTTTGGGGTGCCTGAGACAAAGTGGGGAAGGGGTGCGACTAGAGTCGTGGATGCCAGATTCCGCAAACACTTGTTTTCTCCCTGGGCTGCATCTGGGACACACACACACACTGGAGCGTGATTGGATAGACTTCGGACTGTTCTGCGGTTGGTGTGCGCTATGTTGTCCATCCAAACAGATCGCGAAGTCTTTGCTGATGGATCGTGTGTGATGCTTCCCGGGGCTCCGTGCTCGCTGGACGCCCGGGATGGAGGAGGGGAGGGCAGGGTTAGGGTTAGGATGGAGGAGTGTGATGAGCATAGTTCAGTCGCAGCTATAGTGGGTATTAGCCTACTCAACTTTTCGGAGCCCCGGTCTGCTGGGATGAACGAGGGCGTGGGTGTCCTGGAGCAGTCGTGGGAGTAGAAGAGAAGCCTCCGCGTGGGGGGAGTGGGCCAGGTAGATACCAAAGGCCCCTCCCAAAGGGAGGGAGCTTGGGGCTAAGCTGATAGGGTTTAAGGGGGCACTATACTAAAAGCAGCAAGAAGTCAAGTTCGGAAAAGCTGCGCGAGAAAGAACAAGGAGAGCCTTCATTCTGAGCAGTACCCAGAAAGCCCGAAGAGAGCAGACCAGGTCAGCAGGGAGAGAGAGAAGGCAGGAGCCGGTCCAGAGTCTGCCGGCTCCCCGTTGGCTTTGATGGCCCGTCGGGCACGGCAGAGGGAGAGTGGGCTGTGACAGGGCAGGGGAGCGCCAGTCTCACAGTCTCACCGGTTAGATGAGGATTGGGGACTGCAAAGTGTGGAATCTCAGGTGAGGACGTGGGACAGATGCTTAGCCTGTTGTTTGTTGCTGTCACAAATTACCTGAGACCGGGTAATGAATGAAGACTGGAAGTTTATTTGGCGTGCAGTCTGGAGACTGGGACGTGACCAAGAACACCGCCCCAGATCTGCGTGGTGTCTGCTGAGGGCTTTCTTGCTGCAGCAGGCAGGGCAAAGGGCGTGGTGAGACAGAGCACCTGGGCTAACCTGGGTCTGAGAAAACCACTGAGGTCAGGGGGGGATGGGGACACTCACGCCCTTATCCCACTCTACTCCCCTCACCAGACCCCACCTCCAAATGCCACTAAGTTTGGGGATTAAGTTTCCAACATAGGACCTACTGGGGGACATAGTCAAGCCATAGCAGATACTGTTAACCTAATTGCAAATCTGTGAGGCAGAATTATGGAGAGAAAACCCATCTCTGGTTTAGCTGCATGAAGAAACAACAACCTAAATCTACATGTAGAAAGCCAAGGGGGTGGGACTGGCATTTGGCAGTGGATTAAGCCCCTGCTTGCAGTGCTGGCATCCCACATGAGCACGGGTGCCAGTCCAGGCTGCTCCACTTCCAATCCAGCTCCCTGCTGATGTGCCCAGGAAAATAGTAGAAGATGACCCAGGTCCTTGGGCCCCTGCCAGCCACATGGGAAACCCATATGGAGTTCCAGGTTCTTGGCGGTAGCCTGACCCAGCCCTGGTTGTTGTGACCATCTGGAGATAGAACTAGTGGATGGAAGGTATCTTTCTGTCTCTCCCTCTTTGTAACTGCACCTTCCAAATACATAAAATAGATCTTTTTTAAAAAATGGAGGAAAAGAGAAGAATCCGCTGCTTAGATTTTACTAATGAGGCTAGTTTGTGGCAGGATCTGATTCTCTTTTGACAGTGCAGAGAATGAATAGGCAGTTTCTTTTTTTGTATCTACTATTGTTGGTTATCTAAAGGAAGTATCAAATGGTTTCTGCCCTCATGGAATAGCTGTACAGTTATCACTTGGCATCCTCGGGAGATTGGTCCCAAGACCCAGCAGCTAAGAAAATTCCAGAGGTGCTTTATTCCCTTGCATAGAGTCATGAAGTATTTACATATTACCTATGCACACCCTCCTGTATACTTTAAATCGGCTCTACATTGCTAACAACACCAAATATAATACAGTGCTATGGAAATAACTTGCGTTGTTTAGGGAATAGAGGGAAAAGAAAAAAAAAAGCCTATTGAGGGTTGATAATATATCGCTTAGCTGCAAAGAAAGAAAATGCAGAGATGGTGAAAAAGTAAAAAAGAAATAGCCTGCATCACTCCTGCGATGTTTTCCGAGTGGAGAAAACACTGACGGGAATACTATCGCTGCTCATCCTTTCTCCCTAAGCTGCCCTGTGCTTGTGGTGCTCCCAGAGTAATATATATCTATATATTTCTACGTTTCTTGTACTGTGGGCCAAACATGGATACCAACCACTTCCCTTGGTCCCATTAACATAACTATATTAGGCTGGGTCTAGCCAAATGCTTTAAATCAAGTTCACATGAAGGATCCCAGGTCTTAGAGACCCAGTACCATCCCACATTCTGTCTTGAAGGCATTTCCAGCATCAAAGGAAAGTAAGATATCGTAGACACAGTCCTGGCCAGCTTCCCTCCTGCTCACTGCAGGGCTTCTTATTCAGGAATCCTCTGACGTATCACTATTTAGGGGCAGTCTCTGAATCTCATTGCCATCTTCTGAGCCAAGGCCAAAGATTTCAGTTCTGGTAGGAACTGGAACAACCTTCCCGGAGGACAGTTTGACAGCACTGATCAAAAAATCTTTAAAATATGCATTGCTGTTCTGGTTGTTACTAAGTTGTGACACAACTATTCCATTTATAGAAATATCCTAAGGACATAAAAATAGAATGTGGATGAAGATTTAACCTACAGCATTCATCAGAATAGTGTTTATGTCATTACTGTATAATGAAGATTGTACATAACACACACATGGAAACCTGGGAGTTAATTAAGTAATTTTTGGTCTATGTCTATGCTAAAACACTATGCAGCCAATACTAATATTTTGTAATTGTATTTGTTGAAATGGAAAATGCTTCATGATATACTGTGATATTAAAAAGCAGGCTATGATGTAAGGATTAGAGTGCATCAATTTTTTGTTTAAAAATCACACACATGCACACTCACACGTTGTTCCACCCAAGTAACTTATGATATTCCCTGGGGAAAGCCCATGTTTGCCAAATCTCCATCCTGACTCATAGATTACAGTTTGACCATCCATGAAATCGCAATATTAACCACTTCATTTCTGAAGTCTAAAAATATCAGACTTTGGCAGAATGCTCCAGTGTGGCACCGACACTTCCTTAGCGGTCTCCTTTGGGACGCTGCCTCAAGGTGAGCTTACACCTTCCACTCTCTCTGATGTTGCTGGTTCATGCTCCTAGTCTCCTGGGGATAGAACTTGTAGAAAAAGAACTGACCAGTTCAATGATACCATCTAAAACAGGAGTTCTTGTCCCAGCATCCATGATTCAACGTCTATAACGCTGGATGGGGGAAAAACCCACACCTTTGTATTCACTAACTTGTCATTGGAATTTTTTTGCTTCAACTAATTAAAAATTAAAATTAAAAATAAAAAAAGAAATGTGCTTGTTTCAGTTGCACAGGTAGCAAATCACAGTAGCATTAAAAGTATTGTTTTGAGTCTGTATCAACAATAAAAATCACAGATGTTTATATCACCTAATAGCTGTTGTAGGCTTTTTGCAATATCCTTTTTATTCATTACAACTTCGAAATTATCATAGTATTGAACCTGACTATAATTTTGTTTGATGCTTTTATAAAGGAGCAAATACATAGCATATCACAATTTTACAAGAATTATATTTTGATATAATTTAGTTTGATTTGTAATCATATATATTTTATTTTACACATTTAATATTATTCTGAGAGGGACATCATGGGCTTTTCAATCACCAATAGGATCCTGGCACTTCAGTTGTGAGGGCACTTCAAAAACTTCATGGAAAATGGAATTTAAAAATAAGCTTATTCAGATGCAAAAATTCTTTGACATCTGTGCATATGAAGTGTATTAGTCAATGTTTCATTACTAATACCTAATACCTAAGATAATCTCCTTACAAACAAAAAGAATTGCTTTGACTCATGGTTTTGGGGGTTCACAGTCTAAGATTGGATAGACGGCTATGTGAAGCAAAAGGATGAAAGTTGTGGAGAGTGTATGAAGAAACCATCACTTGACAAGCCAGGAATCAGCCAGAGTGACTAAGCCCAACTTGGCTTTTATAAACAGCCTCTTCTGATGGTATGCCCCATTGATTTACGCTTACCTACAAACATCATATTTGGATTAAACTTCTACCTCTTTAGCATCACCAGCACAACCTGGGATTTTTAATCTATAAATGCCTGCATGAATTCAGGAGTCACATCCCATTCAAGCCATAGCATTCTGCCCCTGGCTCCCCAACACGCATGTTCTTCTCAGCTGAAACATACAACCACTCCATCCCCAATAGTTCCAAACTCAGTCCAGCATTAATTCCAAGACCCAAAGTTACATTTGAGACTCAAGGCAAACTCCCTTAGCAGTGAGCCTCTAGGTCATGTACTTCCAAGACAAAATGGTGGAACACATTTCCACTCCAGAAGTGGGGGATAATCATCCCAAAGCAAGAACAAAACCAGAAGGGCAGACATTGAATCGTAAAGTTCCATGTCCACTATTCTGGATGTGATAGCTACCCCAGGGCTTGAGCTCCTGTGCTTTGCTGGTCATAGCCTATTATTTTTTTAATAGAATAGACTGGGATTTTTTGTTTTTTAGATTTATTTATTTTGCTTGAAAGTCAGAGTT